GAAATGTTACATTGGTTGAGTAAACACACTGTATGTAATCCTAGGCCTTGCAAGATCAAAACATTGTAGTAAAAATATGTTGATGCCCTTTCAGGCTTGCACACACATACAGTGCACATTCCCATAGCCACGCATGTTATAACACAAAGTACACACACACATGCACACTGGGATCGTTTTAGCATGCACACACTCCCGTACTACACATATAGCCATGACTCATGCATCCATGAATGAAGGCCAGGGATCACATTATGTGAATGGGGTATTCAACACAGTAATATGTTTACACATGTCAGTGCCTTGGCCCTGCCATTTGTGTGTGTAATGTGTGTATGATTAGCAGAGCATTTTTGTACAGTGTGTATTGACAAGACAGAATTCCATGTGCTTTGAAAAACTAGCTAAAAAAACAGTGGCCTACATTGAGCAGGGAACAGTCAAGTGTTTCATTGGATGGATACAAATTGATATCATCAAAAAAATGGTTCAATCACGGTACAAAATGGAACTTAGCTTTAAATATTCTACTAGAAATCGATTAAATAGGTGAAAGATTTTACATGAAATACACAAATGGCTTATTGATTAAACTTGTTTGTTATTAATATAATATGTTTGGTAGCCAAGAGTGTTTACATTAACCCAAAGAATAGTAAACACACATTATAATTTTAAAATCAAATAGTGATGAAGACTCCCTAAATCCTGTAAGATTGCACAATGTTCCCCTTAACTGCTGCTCTATTTTTAGTTCTTATAAGTTATAGCGACTATCAACAGATATGGCACAAGGGGCAAAGAACAAGGACAACTATATCTGCCTAAATGCAAAACCACACAAGGTCAATTTTCAATATCATTTATGGGCGTGAAAATATGGAATAGTATACCATATGATTTAAGAGGAATACGATCTAAAAATGCTTTTCGGAAGGGGTTAACGAAACATCCAAATACTTTGAGTTAAACAAAGGTTAAGACTTCTTAAAATGGCAAAAAGAAATCTCAGATTAGAGAATTTCTAAAAAGATCACTAGATAAAAATGATATATTTTTTATTTACTGTATGTTTGGTTTTGATACGGAAGTCGACACACATTTGACTTCCATGTATATTAAGTAAGGAATATTTCTAAATGACTATTCTATTTCTTTGTTTACTTATATAGTTTATGTTACATGTATATAATGTAGTATATTTTAAAAAATATTTTAAAAATAGTTTTAAAATTCTTGCCAAAGACAGGGAACCAGACTCGACTAGCACTTGTGCTAACTTCTGGTACCCCCTTTAACAACAAAAGTGTACACATAATATTTAATTCCATTTGTATACGACATACTTTGTAAAACAATATCTATATTATTCATGAGTAATGTTATCGATCTTGTGTTATATTGTTATATTTTATGTAATCATACTTGATACATTATGTTTAAATTGTTATTATTTTTGTTGTTAATAAACTTAAACTCAAACTCAAACTCAACAACATACTAGCTATATGTTTTTAAATACTCATACGACGGTAGGCTACTTAATTTTGATTGCCTTTAATATCAATTCATTACATCTAAGTTCCTATCTACTGGGTGGTGGAGAGTAATTTTATGATTGAAATAATGAAGAAGAAAAAAAATGTATCAAATAATAGTTCTGTTTCTGTTCTGAAGTTTTTTTTTAAATATCCTTCAAGTTAAATCCTAATTCTTATAAAATGTACCAAATTCCTCTAAAAATCATAAACATGATGAGATGCCTCCGGTAATAGTTTCAAATCTAATCATCCTCTATAGTGGATATTTTTTTTTTTAGTTCATAAATTAAAACACAGCCCTCTTTTGGAGTAGTTAAATGCAGAAAGTGGACTCACAAGTTTGATACACACAAATTACGCCCATTTGCAATTTTCACACCCATCACTATGACACCATGCCTTTAACCAAAACAATAACAATACTTGCTAAAGATACTACAGATACTACAGTAGCTGTCCATAAAACCTACATGTATACATGTACAGTATACTCCCTTTTGTTCCCTACCAACATTTAGCCCAAACAAACCCTTAAATATTTTGAAATAATTTTGGAGGTTTTCTTTTTCTCTTATAATCCATGAATTAAACAGTGATACACAATATATTATTATAGGAAAAGGGTTCAAACCCTAAAAATAAATGTAATTCCTGGTGTTTTAGCACCCCCCCCCCCCCCCCCATCAAAAAAATGACTGAATTTTATTTTGTATTATGAACAGGTGTTTTGAAGAGATACCAGCTTAATTTGCAACGCTGCAGTATTACTAAAAAAGACCACTTCATAAATACAATTTGCGCATGGGTCAATAAATGTCAGTTTTACAAAAATCATAAACCTCATCGAGATGAGTACTACTACTGGACTTGTGCTCATGAAAGTTATGTAATCATTAATTATTTATTACCCGACAACATAATTCTCTGACACACAGGTGGAAGTACATGTCTTCTTCTCAAGAAGGCAAACAAAAGCTTTTAATAAATCACCATTACTTTGGCAGTGATTATTCAAAGGGTGCATTCAAGTGACACTTTGTCACCCTAGAAACGCAGTTTTCAAAGAAGTTTAGTTTAAAACACAGATGCGTTGAAGCAATTTCAAGCGATTTTTTGTCCGTCGTAAAAATAAACGTGTTTCAAAACGCAAACATGAAACACTGAAAAAGAATCTCAATCATGACTCTTTGACGTCATTACCGTGGCCTGCATCCGGTTTTGCCGACAGTACACCGTAACAAATTCAGAAAGCGTGTGCCAAAGTTGACCTAGACTTCCTTGGTCTAATTCCCCCACATGATGCGCAGTGGTTGGGCTTGAAATGAGCAAGAATCAGCGTTGATGGAAAATGTAACAGCGTTTTGATTTGTAATGCTTCTACATGTAGCTTAAAAAAATTGCTTGAATGCACCCTAGAATGCACAGAGTGAGATGTCTCCATGTGTACAAGATACAGGTAACGGTATGTGGATATTAGGGGGTCGGGGTCATTTGTACCAAAGCTAACTACTAACAGGTCAATATCTTGCAAACATTTTTTGTCATAAAAATGAGGACCTGATTTAACTGCTACAAAAATATCTGAAAATCTGTAGAATACTATTTCTATGAGGTCAACCTTGAGTCACCTGGGCAATCTTACTCCTATTGTCTTGCGAAAAGAGAATTCAATTTTTAAGGAAAGAGATTGGTGTTATTTTATTTTTTCACAGATACATATTCTAATGGTAAAGACCAATTTTATCACAAATTGTTTTCATATTTCAAACCCAGTTGAGATACAGTGTATCATTTCAAAGATGAATTTTGTAACCTCACTTTCTAGATATCTCAAAACCATACATCTACTTTGTGTCAAAATACATCTGTCTCTGTGAAATACGTCAATACAAATTATTTCATTCACCCATTCTAATTAATTGTATTTCAGTAGTCATAGTCGTTACATATTGTCAGGTAGGGCATGATATGTTTGTCCTACCTAGCAACAATTCACATTTCGACTACTAAGATACACACATGTTCATGTAGGTGAATGAATATCATTTATTTATAAAGATCCTATATTCAAACAAAACCGTTACCCTCAAATTCAGCCTAAATTATGGGAAACAAGGCTCTCATATATTATCATATTTGGGCAGCAAGTTGCCCAAATACTCTCATATTTAGGCTTCAGGTAACTAAAAATGTAATTTCTGTTATAATTTTTGTTATTTTCACTCGTCAAAATGCCAAAAAATTTGCACATGAGCGAAGAAACTTAGGAAGACTGCAGAAAATCTAAAAACTGAAGAGTTGATAATGATATTCGGCATGTTCATGGAGAAGGCATCAGCCACCCTCGCAAAATATGTGCCCAGCGTAAGCGATCTCATGTTCAAAATCATATCTAATTGTCATAATTATCAAAAGTAAACTATAAAAGCTTTCAAGCTTTGAAACTTACAAGTTTCAACTGCCATTATTGGTATTGGTCAATGTTTTGGCTAAATTTTGCATTTGAACTTAGACCGACACGAAAGCTTCAGACCTCAATCTCTAATTTTATCAAGTCCTGACCAGTGTTCCGCTGAGACTACATCTGGCTCCACTGACCACCTTGATACAGTCCAGACTACTGATGGGGAGTCTGGCTAACTCGGACCCGGGGACAACTCGGCCTGCTGCAAAAGCGCCGAGTTTTTGCCGGTTTAGCCAGTAAAGTTTAGGCCTTAATTAGGGTTAGGTTTAAGGGTTAGGTTTAAGGGTTAGATTTAGGGTAAAATGACCAAAAAAATTGACTGTTTTTGCAGTGAGCCGAGTTGTCCCCAGACTGCCAGAGCTCGCCCATATCCACTGATGCAATGGGTATGGGAAAGGTTGACAAATAAATAACTGTAAGTTTCATTAAAGAATTTTCCAAACCAGACTTTAGTTTCTGTCTAACTCTAACTTTAAATTAGACCTAGAGTCTAGATCTAGTTTAGAGTTTGATTGCAATTGGTCAGTTGTATTTAGACCTTCGTTCTACACATTAGTATAGAAAGTAGAATCTAGTCTAGATCTAGAAGATCTAGACTCTACATGCATGCTACTTTGCCAGATCCAATTAGACCTAAATAAGGCCAGGGTTTACCCTATCCCTAGGATTAATTTCAATTAATTACATTGTTTACACAGGCCACAGCACACAAGATCATCAACATTCACACTGAATGCCATTTTTATCATCGACTAAGTGTAATAACACGCAAATTTAGCCTGCCCTGAGCCCATGATGTTTGATATTTTCTACAACGCACATGCACATAGAACGTGTGTATGGACATGTCCGTCCTTGATTTCGAGCCCTTCACAACACGACCAATGCAATGCACGCCATTATGATCACCGAAACCTCGGCCTTGCATCAACCAAACAAACTGTCCGCACACGTAACGCACAGTGCAACCAACCAAAACAACGGCAAAATCTCACCTCCTAAAATCACACTGCACAGGAATATAATCCACGGTTGTCGACGACAACGTTGCATCGCCATAAAGGCTGTTTTCCCGATTTAAAAACGTAATTTTTCCATGCTCTTGTGGTGTCCACTACACCAAGAGTTTCATCGTAGCACAAGTTTGATTGTCCAAAGTTATTATGACGAACTACAAATTCAGAGGAGGGATACAAAGACCTTCGGCCAGTGGTGTGGCGAACACTTGACCTCGACATTGCCGAATGGTAACTCAGCGCGCGAATCGAGCATCGAACTATTTGACGTATGGGCTCTTCCGCTTCACAGCGTCACCCCTCCGGTCAAATGTCGCTGACCATTCTTAAAAGTTATCCTGCAATGTTTTTAATGTTCTTAACAGACTGAACACGTACTTGTCCCTGAGCTCATATCAATTTCTCTTTAACCAGTTTTGGAAGCCTCAACATTTCACATTCAACATTTCACATTAATCATTCAGGCAACAAGCAAACAGGTGTAGTAATGATGGCGCTATACCACGAAATCAATTAAGAGCTCAAGATTAGGAATGAAATTACCTAGAGCACATTTAACAATTTTTACGATGTTTTGTTTTGATTTTCGCTTTAGAAAATGTAAAGATGGAATAAGATCTTTTTTTTAGAGAAAACCAGAATCGGTGCTCACTGAGCCCGGGCCCCACAGTGCCCCCTTTTACTTCAGATAAGTGCCTCTTTTTCTTTCCAATAGAGATGCCCGTTTCACATTCATATCAGTAACCTTTACCACCTGTGATAAGTGCACCTCTGATAATTGCCCCTTTTCAAATCTGAGAGGGGGCCCTTTTTACTTTAACAAGAACCCCTTTACCTTTGTAAATATTGCCCCTTCTCCTTCTAATAAGTGCCCCGTTTCATTGTGATAAGTGCCAATAAGAGCCCCTTTCACTTCTCGTAAATAACCATTTTCACCTCTGATATATGCCCCTATTAAAATCTGATTGGTGCCACTTTTCCTTCGACAAATGCCCCTTTTCCATACTCACAAGTGCCTCATTTCACCTCTGAAAAATGCCCTCTTTAGTTCTGATAGTTGCCCCTATTCAAATATGAATTTTGACAAGTGCCCCTTCCCCTTCTGATAAGTGCACCTTTTTCATCTCTGGTGAGTGCCCTTCTTCACCTCTGATAAGCATCCCTTCTATTTCGATACGTTCCCGCTTTTTCTTTCTGATAAGTGCCCTTTTTCGTTCTGATAGGTGCCCCTTTTCCTTTTTAATGAGAGTCCCTCGCCCTTTTCCTTCGAAAAATGACACTTTTCCCTTTATAATATATGCCTCTTTTTTTCCACTTTTATAAGTGTCTTTTCATCTCTGGCGAGTGCCCCTTTTCAGGTGCGAGAAATGTACCTCTTAACCTCAGAAAGTTGCCCTTTTTTACTTTGACACGTGCTCCTTTTCCCTTCTGATAATGCCCCTTTTCTTTCTTCATAACAATACATGTGTGCCTATAATTTAAACGTACTATGTCCCATTTGCAGGCCAAAAAAATGAAAAAGTTAAATTCCAACTGCATTTGAAAGATAATACTAATGTAGAACTTCCCTAAATATGATGGGGCTTGAAAATGTCTTCAAGTGGCAAAATAACAACTATTAGTTGTCAAATCGACTTTAGGGCTATAGAGCCCAAAAGTAATAGTCTTGATTTTCAGACAATTTTACCGAATGGTCATACGTTTTATGCTGCGCAAAGATTCAATCAGTTTAATCTTGGCCATCACAGGAAGTAGGTTATTGATGTAGACAAATGCTCATGTACTCTTTACAACTCTTTTCATGTATGTTATTACCAAAGAAGAAAAAAAGGCAGTCAGTCACTCAATAGTGTCTGACAGTGAAGTCTAGCAAGGAAACGGGTTTCCTTGCATAATTTGAACATGAGGACACTGCTAACGTTTAAATTTCACAGATAGGACATACATGACATATTCAAAATTCCTGAAAAGTTCTACAGCATTTGAGGTTGGCCGCAAAAGGGACATAGTACCTTTAAAGCGACTAAGAGCCTTTTTATTTAATTTCCCAAAATATAGTTGATAAAATTAACGAACTTATTAAAGGTATTTTCAGTCTTTCATGATGACATTATGCTTGTAACCACATCAGGACCCCCCCCCCCCCCCCCCCCCCCCTCTGTATAAGATGTAATTTTGACAATGCGACCTCATGCATGATAACAACTTTGCTCGCTCGCAAATGGATATTCAGACCATCACACACAGCTGCAAGTATGATACGTGAGCAGTATCTTGCATCATGTAAAGAGAGAAACATAAATTAAAATCATCATGTTTTTGTAGGTTTCCGATAATAAATATAATATGAACATTATTTTCATAAATCATTTTAAATTGTCTTAATAATCACAGTAAAATAAATATAATATCATAAGTTTCATAACATATTTTCAAAAAAACCCTTTTAAAGTATTTGTATAATCGAAATATACAAAAAGAACATAATTACAAAACGGGACACAGAGGACAGGAAACTGACATAATAAGATACCAAAGTCTAAAAAATGTATGCTTTGGGGTTTCCCCTTTTGCCCTTTTTCTTTTTTTAAATTATTAAAGAAAGAAAACGATACGTTGGACCGTTCTCGATTCTTAATCCTTGTTTGAATTAAGTTCCCCTTCCCCCGCGCGTAGCGCGGAAGCTCTGACGTTTCATTAAATTACTAAAGAAAGAAGACGATTCGATGTACCATTCTCGACTCTAAATCCTTGTCTGAATTCAGTCCCCCCCCCCCCCGCTAAGCGCAGAAGGTCTGACGTTTCATTAGATTATTAAAGAAAGAAGACGATTCGTTGTACCGTTCTCGACTCTTAATCCTTGTTTGAAAAAAGTTCCTCTTCCCCCGCGCGTAGCGCGGAAGCTCTGACGTTTCATTAAATTACTAAAGAAAGAAGACGATTCGATGTACCATTCTCGACTCTAAATCCTTGTCTGAATTCAGTTCCCCCCCCCCCCCGCTAAGCGCAGAAGGTCTGACATTTCATTAGATTATTAAAAAAAGTAGACGATTCGATGTACCATTCTCGACTCTTAATCCTTGTCTAAGTTCAGTCTCCCCGCTCCCGCGCGAAGCGCGGAAGCTTTGATGTTTCATTAAATTATTAGAGAAAGAAGAGGATTCGTTGTACCGTTCTCGACTCTAATTCCTTGTCTGAATTCAGTTCCCCCCCCCCCCCCGCTAAGCGCGGAAGGTCTGACGTTTCATTAGATTATTACAGAAAATAGACGATTCGATATACCATTCTCGACTCTTAATATTTGTCTAAATTCAGTTTCCCCGCTCCCGCGCGAAAGCTTTGACGTTTCATTAAATTATTAGAGAAAGAAGACGATTCGTTGTACCGTTCTCGACTCTAAATCCTTGTCTGAATTCAGTTTCCCCGCTCCCTCGCGAAGCACGGAAGCTTTGACGTTTCAATAGATTATTAGAGAAAGAAAACGATTCGTTGTACCATTCTCGACTCTAAATCCTTGTCTGAATTCAGTTTCCCCGCTCCCTCGCGAAGCACGGAAGCTTTGACGTTTCAATAGATTATTAGAGAAAGAAAACGATTCGTTGTACCATTCTCGACTCTAAATCCTTGTATGAATTCAGTTTCCCCGCTCCCGCGCGAAGCGCGGAAGCTTTGACGTTTCATTAAACTATTAGAGAAAGAAGATGATTCGTTGTACCGTTCTCGACTCTAAATCCTTGTCTGAATTCGGTTTCCCAGCTCCCGCGCGAAGCACGGAAGCTTTGACGTATCATTAGATTATTAGAGAAAGAAAACGATTCGTTGTACTATTCTCGACTCTAAATCCTTGTATGAATTCAGTTTCCCCGCTCCCGCGCGAAGCGCGGAAGCTTTCTCCGATCTCACCACGAATTCGTCACAGAGTTCATCTATGTTTACACTGTCCAGGATTGTCTGATTTGCATTACAGATTGCTACTTTTGCGCTTCGCGCTTCACATTTAGCTAGTTGCTTTTTAACGCTGCGTCTTTGCATTAGGCGCACTGCATTTCTATGATGCTGTTGATGGAACAAATTGAATAAATCATCAATTCCTGATGTAGCCGTATGAGCGAGAATTCAATATATTCTTGTCTTATATACCGTTGTCTCATTTACTTTGTATATTATGTATATGTATAATGAAAATGATATAGCAAAATGTGTGTATTGATGGTCATCTTGCGAGTAATAACCATTAACTACTCTCATCGGGCTCTCATCATAAATTTTTCTCTTCATTTTTTTTGTTTGATGGTGAATTATTGGGGGGGGGATGATTGTACAGGCCACCCCCCCCCACCTGAAATATTGGGGGGGGGGGATATATCCCCCCCCCCCCCGGGATCGACACCCATGCCGGAAAACATCAATCATTATACTTGCATCATCAATACATTACAAGTCATGTATCAAATAACAAGTGAAACGTAATCACAAGTGGATTGTTGTTATTTTTATTTCCCTATAATAAAATCAGATAAAATACATACAAGTATATCATACAGAGAAAAGGGGACAAAATACGGCCGGTAGCCCATTTTCAGCTGCAACTACAACAGTGTTGCTGCTGGTCTTCCATTGAGTGAGATAGTAGGATTGAATGAGATGTATTGGCATCAAATTTCTTCAAATTTTGACATTCCGTGTTTTCATTTGCGCTTATAACATTTCTGATATTAAACAAATTGGGATTTCCTTCTTAATATTTATGAACAAAAGGTAATTTAAAAAAAAAAAGTGTTCTATAGGCCCTATACCAGATAATACATATTACAAAATATAGATCAACATGGTTAAACTCTTCATAACTAATAAAATATAACACTGGTATATAGAAGTTTTCATTTTTTTTTTTTACATATTAGGGCCTAACATTATTATGCCCGAAATTTAAAAGAAGGAATAAAAACATGCTTTCCATCGTCGCTTCATATCAGCAAAAGGCAAGTAAATTGTGTCAATTTTTGTGTGTGGAACTATGAGCGTCATGTATGTTATAGCTTGGGTTATCAAATGTCCTACCTGCAAAATTCTCATGAGTGAACATGCTGAACATCTTCATTTAAAAAATAACGCAATGCTCAGTATAAGAAGTGGTTTGTTTGTCGATTCAAAATCGACAAACAAACCACTCTCCAAGTTCAAGTATCTTAAAGCCCCACTACACTACTTGTATCTACTTGCACCCTCTATATAGCCCATAATGCACAAGCGGTACCCGTTGGTCCCCCATGATCCCCTTTTTCTTATGTTAATTGAGAGCTGATTTGTTGAGATTATTACCGTCTGCCAGGGCCAAAATCACGGAAGCTTGTAACGATGAACTTTTGTTTTTTTTACTAAAGAAAAAAAAAATCTGACTGTCAACCAATCATCTTGATTCAACTTGTACAGAACAGCGAATCATGCATGTTGTAATATTGAATATATTTATATTTTGCATTTGCATTAACTTTTGATCTTCTGTAGTAACGGTTTCAAATTTCTTCTCTTTCTCTTTTGATTCCCGTACAATATATAGTGTAATATGAGTAGTATTTCTCTTGAAATGCTTTCATATCTCGAATATGACTAGACATACAAATTCCAACTATCATGTATTTAAATACCATATGAAAAACCATATGATCAGATATACTTATCCCTATTTTTCAAATAATCAATCATTCAGGAAAAATCTTTTTCACTCGGTGCAAGACCAGAACTATTAGTTTGCTAATATTAGCCAGGTTGCCTCGTCGGCCGTTAACATTTCAACGAGTAGGCCCTGCATTTCATTTATTGATTTTCCAAATTATAATGAAGAAGAAAACTATCGTAGGTTTCATAAAATACAAATAAATACACAAACAAACATACAAACAAACAAAGAAGTAAGCGACAACAGAGGAATTTTTTAAAAGTAAATTAGTGTGTGGATGAGTAACAACAAAATCAAAGTTGCTTGTCAGGATGATTAACTGATTCAGTGAAGGTGCCGTGGTGTATCTAACGTTTCATTCATTTGACTGAGTTGACTCCAAATGAAAAGGTTGAGGGTTCGAAAGTCCCATGCAGGCCGGCACAAACGTGGTTTAATCCAGGTATAAGTTGAAAATTCGTGTAGACAGACACTGCTATTTTGTTAAATTTTAATGTATTTAATTACTAAAATAAGAATATTTTTTATTATTCACAAATTTGCATTTCTCAAGAATATCGTTTCAATATACATGTAGGTCTATATATTTTTTAAACCTTATCATGACCTTAATGAAATGGCCCAGATTGTAATTAGATTGAAGCCCACATTGCATATAGCCTCAGAATATTATACACTGTATTTGGTTTTATGTTGTTCAATTAAAATTATGTGGTATTTATAAAAAAATTAATTGGTAATGGTCATGATGGGCACATCCACCTCTAGTCCAGAATCAGGCCGGTTCTTATTCCATGATCCAGTACAAGTCATGTTATTCCTTACACTTGCTGCAAGCCGCCGAAGATGGCGTTATCAACGAACTCGTACGCCCAGATTTTATCACCGAGCGTAGAAATTCGGGGATCGCGTAATATTCGGCTTGCAGCAGGTATAGGGGAGATCGCGGTGGTGGAAATTATCAAAATTTAAATCGGCCAAATTCTGGACTAATCCAGTATTACACCACCAACTTTATGGCAAAACGGGCAGATTATCAATACTGATGGTACTAGATAACATAACATTGTTTTTATTCTGCTTATTTTATATTTTGTATGTACATAAACAATTTTTTGTTTTGTTTTTGTTTGGGGGGGGGGGTCACAGATATCATGTTCATTAACATTCTGTTTCCATGGCAACGGCAATCCTGAATTTTGACATTCTTTCAAAATGTGAGCCAAAAGTGCATGACATTTTTAGCAAACTGCATGCATGTGGCATTCAACCCTATCTTATTTCTTGGTATTTTTGCAAGTGTTTTAGCATGGATGCCACGCCTTTTACCCCCAAAATACCGTCCAACGTATAAAGAAAAATCACGTCTTGGCTGGGCTTGGCTGGTCTACCGTAAACAGCAAGGCAAGTTGCCTTGAATGGAAACGAAATTATTAATGGCAAACAAAATCTAAGTTTAGTTTATTAGGCAAAGAAAGACAAAAAAAAACTACATCATTTACTAAAGCCAAGTCTGAGCTTATTCGGCATAATAATAATTATTCATGTGGTACGGTAATTATCTGAGTTGATTTATAATATCTATCAATAAATGTTATAACAAGGTTATATAATGTATGACGACTGATATTATGAAAATCCACTAGTTCTATATGAATCATATTAGGAATAACACTGGGAATAACTTCGCTCGGATTTGAATCCATTCCTCATCGTGAAAATAATCCACTCCACAGTTATGAATGTGTCCTCTTTTAAGAATGGATCCCATTCTTTTCAATGTGAATTTCACACTACATTAAAAGTAATTCCTAATATTACACCCTCCCCCCCCCCCCCCAAAAAAAATAAAAAATTAGATGTCCTTTCCTGTATAATTGAGTATGAAAATCATTCAAAATCGATTTATTCATCCTGATAAACAAAATTAATTTACAGCAATTATGGGCGAGACTCCACCCTCTCCACAATCTAGGACCTAATGGTTTCCAGCATACGGGGCTATCCCAAATCGATCAGCATCTGAAGACAGTGGCGGATCCAGGGGGGGGGGGACGCCCCCCCCCCCTAGAGAAAAAAATCATGTAAAAACACGTGATTTTTACCTCTTTTTTTTTTGGGGGGGGGTGCACATTTTTAAATTTTTGAGGACCAAAACAAAAAAAATGTGCTCACTGCCCCCCCCCCCCCCCCCCCCCCCCCCCCACTCAGCGATTTTTTTTTTTTTTTTTTTTTTTTTTTTTTTTTCGGCCGGCGCGATTTTCAAATTCTCGGGAGCATAAAAAAAAAAAGTTGGGCCCCCTCCCCTACGAAATCCTGGATCCGCGCCATTAAGATTACCGCTATTAAGTTTGATGTTGGTGCGATTGTAGCCTGTCCTGTCATAACCTATTCAACTTTATCACACAGAGAGGGGCTTTTAATCCGATCTTTTAATTTCTCCATTTACTCTTTTTTTCGGGCCCGTTTTTTTTCCTTCAGATCTTCCTTCCTCTCTCTCTCTCTCTCTCTCTCTCCCCTCTCTCACTCTCTCTCTCTCTCTTCCCCCCTCTCTCTCTCTCTCTTCTATCCACCCCTCTTCCTCCTCCTCGATCCACCTTTCCCCCTCCTCCCTAATTTTATCAGATATATTCAATGTGCATGACCGTCAGAATACAGAGGGATCACATAATCTTTAAAGGAAACCAAAACCTTCATACTAAGTTACTTTTATTGTAAAGTTTAAAAGATTTGAATAAAATCAGTGACAATTTGAACAAAATCGGGCAAGGAATAAGAAAGTTAGAGTGTGTGTGTGTGTGTGTGTATTGGGTTTTTACAGACGTGTATCAATCAGATATGATTATTTACGTCTGGGACCGACCTTTAAACGTCACCATCCGAAAGACGTGACTCAGTTTCGAACCTGCGTCCTCGGCTGAATCAGTTTGTAACTTCCACTTTTTAGCTGGATTACAGGCGCACGCCACAAAGAGCCTTTTGAAATGACTAGTCACTAGAGGGCGGTATTCAATTTGATGACATCATCTGTGAACAACTCTCCATGCCTTTTGTACATAAAATTTCACAATTTTTTTGTTTTCTTCGTATATATTTGTGTTCTTGATCCGACTTCATAACATGTGAAGTAGAATATCATTTTGCATTCTATATATTGCTTTCAGGGGAGTACATTATCTCAATCACAAGAAAGAAGGAAAAACATGAAATTTGATGTACAAAAGGCATGGAGAGTTGTTCACAGATGATGTCATCAAATTGAATACCGCCCTCTAGTGACTAGTCATTTAAAAAGCTCTTACTTCCTCATTCCTGGCCCGATTTTGTTCAAATTTTCACTGATATTTTTCAAATATCTTAAACTTTACAATAAAAGTAACTTAGTATGAAGGTTTTGGTTTCCTTTAAAGTTGTCAAAAGGGAGAAAGGGGGAAGAAAAATTGAAAACATAAACATAAAACATGGAGGATATTTAAAAAAAAATGAAACGAATAAAAACAAGGAAAATGATAGTCCCCCTATTTTCATTGCTGACCCTGCGCATTGCACATTATCTTGCTAAAGTGCCAGAAAACACTTCATGAAAATTACATAAACTTCAGTAAGGCCTAGATCTATAATAATTTATATAATTTAAAAATGTCAAAATTTCGCATTTTCCTCATTTGTCGAAACATTGCATTGCCCCCCTTTACGATTGATACTGATGAATAAAGTGAATAAAATTAGAGCCCATGCACGAACGCAACATCTTGGGCGGTAACAAATCGTAAATGGGCGTGGCGTGGTCGAGTATATGGGCGGCGACATGGGCGTGGCAATTATAATAATAGACATGCGCACGTGTTGTGATAACTCGGCACCGCAAACAGCACGCAAACGTAACTTATACGCACGGCATGCAGGTAATTGATTGAAGATTTATAATCATGATTAGGGTCTATGTGTTCGATATCATTTGACAACTGTGCCCTTGATAGCATCAATCCACCAAGTTTTTAATGTTTCACCAAAGCGTGACAGCAATCTTTCCAGGGAAGATTGTAGTGTACCATGTACTACATTTCATGTCTTGTTTAATGTTATGAACTTAAAGTAAACGCGCGCTGACACAGACAAGGGAGATGAGATGACGCGATTCCTATGTGTACATTGACTAAAAAGCGATGGATTCCACTCATGCATGTACGAGGTCAGTGCGAGGAAGCTGAAAGTATAAAGGAAAAGGACGCAGTCGACCAACTATTAGGTCTATGTTTGAACAAAGGTTGGCTATGATATAAAATCCCTCAACCAGGCCAACCTTGTTGATCTTGATGTCGTTCACAATATCACAATTATAAATCAAATGCAAATGTCGTAAATACTATTTGCCATGACGTGATAGTACAGACTACAGTGTTGAGTGTGCGAAGAGTAACATTTTAACCTCTTTATTGACTGAAGACGAGCGAGACCGGCATTGAGAAAGATGTTGCATATTGGTTGGTTATTGGGAAGGTGTGTATCATATGCAGATTCCACCAGTACAAGAATGGCAGCAGAGAAACTTTGGTCTCCACTCTCATGTTTTCAACCTGGATTGCAGAAAGGTTAGAAACTACACTATCAAGAATTATACTCCTTTTTCTTCTCTTTATGTCTTCTTCTTCTTCTTCCTTCCTCTCCTACTCCTGTTACTTTGTCTTTCTCTTATTTCTATTCATCCTCTTCACCTTTTAAAAAATATTTGTTTATCCTCTCCTTTATACCCCGCCTTTAAAAAAATTAATTTTGAACTTTTTTTTCCTGTTTTTTACTCCCTATTTTCTTCCTTCCTTTTTCCGTATTTATTAGTTTTATATATAGATCTACATGTAGACTATATATGAATGTGGAGTGATGTTTAATATTATACTATACACACAACCCGTTGAATATCAAGATCAAGATTTACTGGGACTCGGCTGGAGTCTTTGGAAAATGTGTCCTACAAAAATCAAATCGTATCCAATGAGTTAAATTATAAACCATGTAGGGAAGATGGTATTTTGATAATTTGTTATGCTGAATGATAGATTATCAATTGTTTGTTTAGAGAGCTAGAAGAGCATAATCCATCTAGAAAATGACACGAGTTAAAGATAAAGACCAGTTCTGGTCATGCGATTGCATTGTGAAAGAAACTTGGAATCGATCAGAAAAGGTTGATCATCTAGCATATAAGTATTGGTGTGTACTGCAAGGTTCTGGAATCATCAAAATGATAAGAAATTTGGCCCAGTATTCGTAAAGTTACAAGCACTGTACACAGAAAGATGTATATGGGACTACGCACACGTGCACGACACGTGCGTTTATCTCTCACAGTCCAATAGATAAACTAATTTACCGAATATATCAATTAGTAGGCGGTTTCCCGGCAATTTTTTTTCCATCATACATTAGTCAAAACATATTCTTTCACATGATCGGTAATAAAGAGCTTCCATCTCATTTTTTGAAGTTGGGGCGTTTCCAATACTGGTCTTTACCTTTAACACCCTTCTGGCTCCTAACAGACAAAATATCATCATTTTTTTATCGTCATCGTTCTTATTCCTTGCCAATTAACCAAGTAGAACAAAATGTTTCATTCCAAATCTTAATGTCTCTTTTTTGTTTCATTTTGGCAGATGCCAATGTTGCACTGATTATTCTGAACAGACCAATCCATGATGTACAGCCTCTCCTCAAAAGAATATGGGATGGTGCCGTTATCAGAGCAGCAGCTGATGGTGGTGCCAACCGTCTACAGGAATGCATGTCACAAGAAGATCACAGGTATTCATCTGGCAAAATCTTACATCAGTTGTTCAGAGGGTATTTTTGGGAATAATGCCAAAATGATGAGGAAGGACATTGTATATTTGATTGTAAACAAAGAGAAATCTGTATTTATTTTATCACACAACCTTCATGAAATAAGCTGGATTATGTATAGTGCACTCAAGTACAAGAGTTCTGTTGGAAATTGTAAACATTCACAAATAAAAACACATAAAGAGCAAAAGGTATGCAATGTTTTAATCTAAGCACCAGATCCTTCATTTTCTTTTTTATTTTACATGAGTTTTGTCTCGCCTGCGTAGCAAAAAGCGAGACATAAGGCGCTGCTTTTCCGGTGACGGCGGTGATGGCGTCAACATCAAAAACTTAACCTAAGGTTAAGTTTTTTAATTTTTAGTATAATTTTGAAAGTATAAGTTCTCATTCAATGAAACTTAAACTAAAGGGTTATCAAGTATTCCCAATTATGTGAGCAGAATTTCAGGTCACAAAATCAAGGTCAAAGGTCATTTCCGGTCAACAGACTTAGACTATGTTGTGACGTCATCATCGAAAACTTAACCTCGGGTTAAGTTTTTGAATTTTTAATATAATTTTGAAAGTATAAGTTCTTATTCAGTGAAACTTTGACTAAAGGTTTATCAAGTATTCCCAATCATGTGAGTAGAATTTCAGTTCACTAAATTAAGGTCAAAGGTCATTTCAGGTCAACAAACTTAGACTCTTTTGTGGCATCAACATCAAGATTTTGAAATTTAAGCATAATTTCAAAAGTGTTTGTTCAAATTCCATGAAACTTGTACACAATGGTTATCAAGTATCACAAATCTTATGACACAAATTCCAGGTCTCAAAGTCAAGGTCAAAGGTCATTTTCGGTCAGTATGTGAGGATTTAAAAAAATATATATTTTTCATGTTCCATCAAAGTTTTTAATCCTGGTACAAATTATAGTAAATAATTCTTCCGATGACTCTTGGTCAATATTCACTTCAAAATGCTGATTATATTTAGAGGATTTCATTGGGGGGGGGGGGCTGCTAATGGGCCACCCCGCCTATGAATAATGTTCCAACCTCAATTTGTCATCGTATTGAATTGCATAATGCAGGCAAGACCGCCGAGAACGCTTCCCTTGTTTTTATTAGAGCTATAACATTTTCAAGAAAGTGAGGCCTGATATTTTATAAACTCATAAAAGTTCTTGATCTCTGGTAAGACAGCAAGTTAATTGGGGGGGGGGGGGCAGGTATTGTCCCCTATTCTTTTCCTCTGTAGATCTACCAGTACTTATGGTACCTTTTATTTTTCTCTTCACCAATTCAATAATACTTGTATCTAAATTGTTTTCAGATATGTTCCTGATATTGTCTCTGGTGACTTTGATTCAGTGAGGGAAGAGGTAGTCCAGTACTGCAAAGAAAGGGTATGATATATCAGTTTTCTTTGAAGATATGTGATGCCCTTGATTAGAAAGGGCAAGCAAATGGTTGCCAACTTGAAATATCTGGTAGGTTTCTCGAATGCCAGACAACTACCGTAGTTGTTTTGCTCTTTTTAACAACAGATGGCTGAGGCAAAGAAGAAAAAAATAATAATTGTTTCATTTTTTTTTTAAAGGAATATTTCAAAGCAACTGAAAAATGTTGGGTAATATTCCCCTGCTACAACTCATCAACGATATGTTATTCTAAGTTTCTATGTGGAAAAAGCATTCCATCTGTAGAAGTATTCTATATTTCCTTATAATTCATGAATTTTGGTTGTTCTGCATTATATTCACCTCTCTCTCTCTCTCTATTTGTGTGTAGGGAAGTGATGTGATCCATACACCAGATCAGAATTCTACAGATTTCACTAAGTGCCTTAAGATTGTTGTGAATATCGTCAAGAAAAAGTCTTTGGCAGTAAGTACAAATTCTGTTATTATTTGTTTACATTTTACCCATGAGCGAAAATATGAGCTTGATGATTTTGACTTATAGGGGAACGAGCATAATGAAAAGTGAAAGTGCCTTGTGCAACTAAATCATTTTAAAACTATTACGCTCTGTGTAAATATAGCCAAAATGACTTGTTCAAAAAGACAATTATCTTTCATTATTATTTATTTCCACAATCATTAATAATATAAACCTAAAACCCATTTGCAACCCTTACTCTAACCCTATACATTTAACAAAATAATCCCTGGAGCATTTGGTAGACCACCGTTTTTGCTGTCCTTGATATTTTGTGATGATATTAAAGAGATGGTTTATTGATTTCAAACTTGACTGAGTTTGGTATCATTGCAATCGAAAAATTACACTGAGTAAAATCATTACATTTGTGTAACTTGTACATACGAGCGAAATTTATAAAAGTTGATTGAACTTGACGAAAAATCAACCCACGCAACGCCCCTAAAACATCGTAAGTCAGCTGATTTTTGAAGTGACGTCACAATATGAACAGCGGGCCGCTCAGCTGAAACGATTGACGACGGTGCGAGTTGCAGTTTCCGTACGATTCACATGTATTGCATCGACTCTAGAGTACCGTACCCATTTATAACTTATGGTGTTTACCTTCATCAAAATCCCCTGGAAATATGGATATGGACGAAAACATACTTGAGTATACTCCAGCTAGAAGGCTCCTCCATGGCATGGTTTTGGTTCTTAATCTGACGTTAGTCTAGATGAATGGTATATAACTTCCAAAAAGCGAGTGAATATATTGTCGATGTAGCGTTCAAGTTTCCCGTAGCTGGTAGCTGTGCGTGCGTACTCTGTGCATGTACTATATGTGTGCAATACACTGACCTCTATATGCGTGCATCACATCTAGCGCAGCTTGCTAGCCAGCCTAGCCCGTAGCCCGGCGCTCGAGAGCTAGCCGTGAATCGCGAACCGGACTGATCTGTTTCTCTCGGTTTATCAGGTCCTATACGACTTAATTTATCAAAAATGTAAATTAATCAGCCTAATCACACATTTTTGTAATGAATATCTGGACAATTCTATGTATATTTGTCGCCTATTTTACTCCAAAAGAGTCGTTAGGTCAGCATGCAAAATGCCCTTTGCCTTCCCAGATCAGACACATACACGCTGAAGTGCCCTCAGAATATGTGATTATTTTCCAGATTTTTATGCTCAAATGTGACGGGGAAAAATATAAATATCAAACAAACATTTGTAGAAAGTATCATTTATCCAGTGTATCTCATTCAAAATGCCAAAAAAGAGGAAATATCACCACTGGCGGTAAATATACAAACAACGTTAACCCATATCTGAAAATTGCAATGGGTATCCAACATTGTCCCGAATGTGTGATGTAGGTTGTTCATATTGTGACGTCATAGTTTCGCATGTAAAATAACGCCGTCAATTCACTTAGTGAGTGGGTTCAGGAAAGGGTAACAAAATTGCATTCAATTTATTCCTCACAACAGTGAGGGCTTCAAAAGTACTTTGCTCATTTTGTAAATGTTCTCATCAATCTGTAGAGGTGTAATTTGCCCATTTTCCACATTTCAATGAACCATCTCTTTAAGTTGCGATTCTAATTTCTATATTTACAGGTGGATAGCATCGTGGTGTTTGGAGCATTTGGTGGTCGAATAGATCAAACTATAGCCAACATCAACACCCTCTTTCTAGCGTCGGCGGTAACGGACCTACCTGTATACCTTCTTGGAGATGACTCCCTAGCATGTCTACTACTTCCAGTAAGTGGGGTTCATTTTCCATGCTCCAGCAACACTTCCTCCAATATTCCTTCAGATATACAAGATAAGGGTTGTAATTGTGTTTTAGGTTAGATTTAGGTTTGATCATTGGCCCCCCAAGACCCCTTTTTCTAATGCTAATTGAGAGCTTTTTGATGAGATAACCACCTGTCAGTGACCATGCAGAGAGGTCTGATCCCTCCTGGCCCTACTTGTGCAGTGGTGCTTTAGGGGAAGGGTTAGAGTTAGGTATAGTGTTGGTTTCACATTTGAAGTTAGGAATTCAGTTAAGTGCAGGGGATGGACCACAGAACAATTGCCACTGGAGTGTTGTACAACCTCATTTCTATATAAAACCAGAAACTTTTGTGACATGAAACATGAATTTTGAATTGTTGGCGATGGCCATTTGTTTAATAATGTTATGGTAACCTTTTTTGGGGGGGGGGGGGGGGGGGGGGGGGGGGAGGGTTGTTGTTGATTGTTAGACTATATCAAACATTTCCATATTCATAGTCATATTCATAGTATTCATAGAAGATAAGCTGTAAGTAGACTGTTTCTGAATAAAATACTATTTAGATATCATAAAACATTACAAAAGGTAAGCCTCATGGAACATACGTGTTTGCCAACAGATAAAGAAAATGGTCAATATTTTAAACTAAAAATTATTCTGATTTTATGTGATTCATGTTATTACAGGGCAGGCATAGGATTAAGGTGGACACTGGCCTCGAAGCCGAGTGGTGCGGACTCATCCCTATTGGTACGGAGTGCAAAAGGGCATCAACGACGGGTCTCAAGTGGAATCTAGGTAGGTAATCCAACTTCTGTAGACAGGAATGCGGGTACGGCTGGGCCGACTCTCAAACATGATCCACATGTATATGCATCGCCATCGGGTCCTTTATGATACAGACGTCCTTACATGATCTACATTAAAGCCGTCTGCACTAGTTTGGCCAGGGGGATTAGACCTCCTTGCAAGGTCACTGACTAGTGGTTATCTCATCAAACCAGCTCTCAATTAACATAAGAAAAAGAGGATCAGGGGGGACCAACAGGCACCGATTAGGCATTGTTTGCTACAGTATTGCTTGAAATAAAGTAGACACTCTCACACTGTGTCACGCGTGACTGCATGTATCATTCCATAGACTTTGGTGTGACTTGGTGGTAATGTATCTACTTTATTTCAAGCGATACCGTATATAGAGGGTGCAAGCAGCTATAAGTAGTACAGTGGGGCTTTAAATCACTTTATACAGGGATGTGGATATATTCTGGTTCATATGCACGGGTATTGCTAGAACACTAAGAATGTGAGTAGGGGGTGTCAGAACAAATTTGCAGACATGTTAGCCAAAAACAAAAGGCAAATGGAAAGGTCCACAGATTTGTCACCCTTGCAGACTGAGATCTCTAAAATTTCTTGTTTTTATTCCAAAAGAAAGGTTGTCAGATTTTCATAGTTGCCATTGGTAAAAATGTGACCTTTGGATTTTCAAATTTGACAATTTATATCATATTTAATTCACCAACATAATATTTGAATGGGAGGGGGAAGGTTTTATGCCCCTAACATTCCCTCCCATCCCCATCCCAATGTAACAATACAATTCTGTCTTATACATGGTCCTTATAGCTACGTAAGATAATTCTGAATGACATAAAGGCCTGCATAGTGTGCCTGATTGCAATGTTTTTAATAGAGCCCCCTCTCATATCCTCTTCAACCTCTTTAGCTGGTTTACATTAGAGTTGGCAAAGGCATGAAAAAAATACACGGGGGCTCGGGGCAAATTAGCCCCCGAAATGCCATAAAGAGCCCCCAAAAGTCATAAAAAGAGCCCCCCAAAATTTGCATAGAGTTCAATGCAAAACAAATTAAAGAGTGTTATTTTTATGCAAGCAAGCTTGAAAAGTAGCCCCCTTCAAGTTTTTTAATAATTTTTTCCCTGAAACATTTATCGCATTAGTGTATGTTCAGTTGTACTAACATGAAACGTCCGTACACTTTCCATCTGTGAACCATTATGAACATTGTGTACCTAGATATATGGAGCAGAGACACCACATGCTTGCCCCTCCCTTCTTTTTATATGCCTCAATATAAACATGATGTAAATATTCCCCATATCCTCCCAGCACTGATATGCATGTGGCATGTAATGTAAGAGTGTTGTATGCAGCCTATAGGTACATCATTCTACCCCTTGTTCCTCAATATCTCGATTTGCCACTGATCTGCATGACAATTTCTGATGTTTATTTTGCTTTCTAGTATGGGTTGTAATTTATTCTAAAAAGGAGGTCTTTATCACATTTCATTACCAATTTATGTTGGTCATTTATTTACTTTTTTTACATTCAATCCCAAGCTCAAAGTTGCCTTCTTTATGTCATTATGCGTATTTATTTCCTTTAACTGGTACACTTCATTATATCCACTGATGTCTTATTAAAAATAGTAAATAAATGACAAACGCAAATTGGCAATGAAATGTGATAAAGACCTTGCTAGCTCAGTCGGTAGAGCAGTGGTTACCAGGTCCCTCGTAGAGGACCTAAAGCCTTCGGCCGTCTGGTTGCTTACTTACAAGCATTTGTGCTTTCTGGCTTAGCACTCAGGTAAAATAACCACCACCATATATGGTCATATATATATATATATATATATATATATATATATATATATATATATATGGTATTATTTTATTTTCATTCTCAAAATATTATTTTCAGAAAACCAATCCATGCAGTTTGGAGGTTTGGTGAGTACGTCCAATAGCTACGCACCAGATGCACAAGAAGTGTCAGTATCCACCGAACAGCCTCTCCTCTGGACGATGGGGATTCAAACTTTGACCTCTGAAGGTCACAATGGGTCATTGAATTATAATGGATCATCAGAGCAATCAAAGCAAGAAACTCCTGAATCACATTCATGACCCACAAGGCCAATGTTTTGAAAAAAATTGTGTGGTAAAAGTTATTTGATTGCCGTGAGAAATTAGCATTGCTTAAATTAAATAATTTAGATGTTCACAGAAAGCACATTTATTTAGTCGACATATCTTTAGTCGATGTGTGAACATGTGAATTTTAACCAATGAAAATCATGATTCAGTGAGAATTAAACTTTGTTAAAAAATGAAGTTACATAATCAAAAAGATGTACAGATTATGATGCAAATATTAATTTAGATGTGTTTTATTTTCTTCATTAGTAAGTGCAATCTCAGATGCACTTTATATATGTTTAAGTCTGTCAGATACAGTCATTTTTAAAGACGTAAGATATTTTACCATATAAATCCTTGCCTGAAATTTTTGTGATGTATTATCACCAGAGGTATATTTATTTAGGACATTGATTTACTTAATTTTGTAGTTCATATTTTCCAGGCAGCCTTGGTATTCTTGATTCCCTGATGACAATGCATGTTGCTATTAGCAGTAATATTTTACCTTCATTCATTCACTGCATGCTTGCCTTTGTTCTTCCAAGCCATTTCGAAATGGTGGCCTCATCAACTGAATTTATGTGCATGAAAATGTGTAGAATAATTTTTATTTCATGGTGCTTTACAATTTTTTTTTTTTTTTTTTTTGAATCATTGATTGTATCTAGAGTCCTCAGTGTGCACAGTAGTATGGAAAATGCACTTTCAAAAATATAGTTACTCAGTATGCATGCAGATGTTGAATAAATCATTAAAAAAGGGGAAAAAGGGAGGGGGAGGTGTGACTTGTCAGATGTCATGCAATATATTGACGCTGTATACATCTCTAGAGTTGATATTTGCGTTTGTTATACATATATTACTATATTCAGTCTTCTACTTGGGAACATGCTCAACCTTGGAATTACTTTGTTAGGGTAACTAACTCAGGGATTATAATTAAGGTGTGTACAACAATTTTAAATACTGAAATATGTACAAGTTTTCCTATGCAATATCTTGTATATACATGTGTTTTTTTAGTATTGTACCAGCGTGCCTTGCATCAGGTCATTATGAAGGATGATATGTTGCTGTTCAAATGTAATTGCCAGTACTGTCGAAATCAGGTTTTATTTAACTTTTGGAAGATGGAATCTTACGTACATGCTCAGGTCTGGAATGACCCTTAGGTCTACTACAGGCATAGTGAAAAGCCTTTATTGATGCCCTGGATTATGTTGTTTGTCTACACTCGTGTTTACTCAAAACTTGCATTTTCACTGATATTGATTGATGTATTATTATTAATTTATGTATTTATTTGTCTATATCTATTCTAATTGTAGAAGGCCACCTGGCTGCAAATGATTTCTTATCAACAAAACGGTTTTAAATCCATTTAAAAATCTAACAAAATGAATAGCCAGCAAATGCCTCAATACTAGTAAAGACTGGTGGGAGAAGACTAGCAGAAGATTGGTGTCAGCTGTGAGGCTTTACATGGCTACTTGTACAAGACTTGAGCACAATGGTTGTTACATATTTATTTCATGCACTGCACTTTATAAGATAATTTGAGTGAAACATGTATATATATGGATGAGATGTGCAAAATTATGATCTTGTGTAAGTTAATGAGATATACATTAAAACAAAATTAACATGTCACTTTTTGTATGAGATTTTGAATTGGTCGAGATTGCTACTTGCTAGAAACTAAATTTTCAGAAAGGACCATATGAAAAGGTTGCTCTTATGCTAGGCTTTCCCCATAGGGTCAACAGATCTAATCTGTATACATATGGAAACCATATACCTATGTGTATCAAGCTGGTATGAACCCTGTAAAACAGTGAAAGAAAATTCTCAATACCACTTCCTCATCTCTAAAGCCTTAAATATTTGTATTGTACATTTAATTGAGCATAATATTATTACTATTGTTGTTATAGCTGTTATTATTTATGTACAAGCTGATTATAGGTTATACTTTGTCATCCCTTGGCACATGTAATACAATAATAGATTACACCAGTCCTAAAGGAAGTATTGCAACTTGCTGGAATCCATACGGTATCCAGTGAAAAGCACAACTCATAGTCCATGTTTTATATCCACATGGGGAAAGACTACTTGCTTGGTTTACTATTAATAATTAAGTCTTTCTTCTACAATATTTTTGATGGAATTCAATTAATTGTTACTATTTACATGACTTGTTGAATATTAAATATACATTTGATTTAATTCTGTGCGGGTACATTATTTGTTGTTGTTACCAGAACCAAAAATGACATGTAAGAGGCATTATGAAAAAAAGAAGCTGATAAATGATTGTAGTATTTCAAATTGTCACTTGCCACTTACCTGAAGATGCTCATTATTTTTGTTTACATCTTTGAAAGCATTTATCGTGTAGTTTTTTCTTTCATTAATAAGGTTACGTTTGTTCACATAAACATGTTACAGTGGAACCTTGTTATTAAAAATGACGACCATGAAGCCGACTTTGTTACATCAGATTTCTTGTTGCATGTGTATTAGGGTAAAAAACAAGAGATGGGACCAGCAAAAATTACCTTGTGATAACATAAGGACATTCTATCATAATATGAAGTGTGCTAACCTTGAGCAAAAAAAAAGAAAAACGTAAATTTGTGGTTACCAGTTTTTTTTGCCAGTGGGGGGGGGGGGGGGGGGGGGGGGGGGGGGGCAAAGGCCCATGATCCCCCTTGGTAAATCACTTTTTTAGGAGGATGAGCAGTATTCAATCCGATGTACATGTATTACTATTTTCAGACATCTCTCAAATCAATCTTTCACAACAAATGAAAATCAGTAAATATTAAGTTACCAACAAACTATTTCAGTGCTTTTACACTTTGTACCTGCTTGGCATACAAGAATCCTCCACATCAAAAATACTAAGTTAGTAAGACATAATCAACCTCAGGATGTCTGCAAATAATTGTACATAAATAATACATGTATGAACTACAGCTTGGCTTTTTCATTGCAGAACAAAAAAGAAGGACATGCAAAAAATCATAAACTTCAGAACTTTATTTATTTATTTATATAATATAACAGGGTTGGAATAATAATTACATGCTTACGGTACTGAATAAGGAAAGAAGAAAATGAGGATCCAGGTTTGTCTGTAGTGCATTGCTGCAAAAATGGAATTTATCAAACGATAGAATAAAAATCAAGTAAAACATTCTTGACAGGATTATACTTTTATCTTGTGTGGTTGTTTTTAATAACCCTAAAACTACACTATCAACATCGCATCATGATCTTGCTGGCTGTAATGTACATATTCAATTCATTAATTTCACTCGATATAAGTTCATATTTAACATATCACAATACATCTATGGGAATGTAATCTTTCCCTTAAAACAGAACTGAAAATGTCATTTTGGGAAGTGGGTTGTGTCATCTCTCCATTCCAGAAACATGTAAATTGGCAATTTGATGTTTAATTCTGGATGACTTCAAACTGGTGCGATAGACACCCCATAAGGCTTGTCTCTGCAGATAGTCTTTGTATTAGATTTGAGCAAAAGCAAAGTTCATGCAGTGCTTTGACAAGGGAGAAGGGGTGACTGGTTTTGATGATATTCTTGGTTGATTCTTTGAAGATAAAAGAGGGATCCAAGTTTCCAGCATGGCATCCAGTGTGTGTGTGAGAGTCCCCATATCCCTAAAAAAGATCACGCACTAAGAGCCCCTGTAATATAAAAAACAAAAGACGCAATATTGTTTAGATATATTAAAAAGGCAAGTTACAATTTATTGCAATAAGAAAAGAAAAAAATAGAAAAAAGGCAGTTATATTTGTATCATTTACATTAATAATTGCTTGTTTATCATTTAACTCTATCATGAATGTAAAGGCGTTAATATCTGAAGTTTTCTTTTCCTTTGATGTCTATTTTCTCTCTGGAGAATCACTTGGCATAAACTTGGCATATTGGCTAGACAAGCTGTTTATAAAAAAATAAAAATAAGGAAATTGCTGTCTCTATCTGTTACCAAATCTGTAGAAATGGATGTTTAATATGATAGGTATAAACACCTTTTTTTTTTAATGTTATAAATGTGACCACCATATTTGTACTCTTCTCTGCATAAAGTCTCAAAATACTGATTTTAAAAAATAATAATAAAATTAACAATGCAAATAGCATTACTTACACAATGATGTTGTTGATTGGAATGTGGATAAGCTTGACAAAGAATCCAATGAAACCCATGATGCAGAATCCAATTGCTGTGGCCATTGCAATTTTCTGGAACTCTGTACAGGAAAGGAAAGATATTATGTAAGTGTGTAGTAATGATGATTTCTTTGGAGTAATTTATTTAAGGTGTAGCACTGACCACTTGCATTGCAGATCATGCATAAATAATTTGAACTAATAATATCTCTGTCTCCAAACAATCCAGACACTTCAGAACAATTTTTGAGAAAAAATGAGGGAAAGGTCTCAAGTCAATTTCTATTTCTGATAAGTGGATTGTTAAGTGAGAGAAAAATACTAAGAACCTTCCATTTAAAGTTAAAACATGAAGAACAAAATAACAAAAATGGGGAAAAACAATTTTTTAAACCATTAAACAATAAATGAAGGAATCCTTAAACTCTATGTAAAGGGGAGTGAAACGGCTGAAAATAAAGTTCATTTCCTACTATGTATATGATAGGTGGCAAATAATATTTACCTTTCCTATCTGGCTTTGTGCATCTTTTGACAAGCCTGATGGAGTCCTTGGCGAACTGCTTAGCAGGTTCAATCGTTTGCTGAATTTGATCCATATTTGTAAGGTGATGTCTTTGATAGTAACCTGTAAAATAGAGGGAAAAAATAGGCAGGGTAAGTAGGGCAATAAACATCTATTAGTCCCTCTATAAGAGCAATGTTTACATTCAATTATCATGCCACCGACTAACTTCTGCTTTAGGCCAATATATGCTTTCCTTTAGTTCTGTACGTTTTCAATATTGCTTGGAAATTTCTTCCTCTACATTGCCACTTGTTGTACAGCATAACCATGGCACATTGCTGATTTCCAAATAATGACCTAAATCTGTAATACATCAAAGTAAACTGCTCAGGTATTATTAGCCTTAAGGGCTCTCTCGAAATGTTTTTTTAATGATATTATTCGAGAGAGCCTTAACTTGCTCCCATACCCCTGCACGAAGAGGCATGTAAACAAAACTCAAAAGTGGTCCAAAATCACACTTTCGCGCACCCGACCAATATTGGACAGTGGCTTTGATAAATTTTGTCGTAGTTTTGGTCTTAATTACCGCCTTAATTTCAAAATCGGATCTGAAAATAACAAAATAAGAGCAATTTTCTTACCAGACCGATACAGCTCAGCTCCCTTTTCACGTGTACCGTGTGAATTCACGATGTCTACACAATGGTGATGACCTCTGACTGGCACTTCGTAAATGTGCTGCTTCCGTATAATGCGCTGAATAACACTAATACAGCGCATTATACGGAAGCAGCACAATTTACCCACAATTACGGAAGTGCCAGTCAGAGGTCATCACCATTGTGTAGACATCGTGAATTCACACGGTACACGTGAAAGGGGAGCTGAGCTGTATCGGTCTGGTAAGAAAATTGCTCTGATTTTGTTATTTTCAGATCCGATTTTGAAATTAAGGCGGTAATTAAGACCAAAACTACGACAAAATTTATCAAAGCCACTGTCCAATATTGGTCGGGTGCGCGAAAGTGTTGTTTACATGCCTTTCCGTGCAGGGGTATGGGAGCAAGTTAAGGCTCTCTCGAATAATATCATTAAAAAAACATTTCGAGAGAGCCCTTAAGGCTAGGTATTATGGCCTCCTGTATTCTGTTTCACAAGTTGTCAGTGATTTTGTATGAGGGATTTCCTTTTGCATTTTTATTCTTGTGAATAAATGCATACTGTAAAACCAGAAAATTTGCATGCGATTTAGGATTCATGCAAGTTTGATACCGAGAATTAATTAAAATCACAGCTGAGAACTGACACAACACTGAATTTTTGCAATTTGGGAAAGTTTCTTGCAATGAAAAATGGCCATTGTTAACAAATCTGAAAGGTTAAAATTTTAACCGTTCTTGGGTTTAATTATATCTGACTTTAAACATTCGAACTCTAGACTATGGCTTTCATATTTTACACAAAATAAAGAAAAGTATTTTGGGGAAGAAAAAAATACCAAGCCAAACTTTTATCAAAATAAAAGCCAGTTGGACTCAGGAAATAACATATTTTTAGGCTATTTCTTGGTTAAAAGAAAATCAAAGAAAATCACTCATTAAGAGACATGAAGTAGATCTACTACTGTGTGAAGTGAATGGTGGTTCCTCCATGTATTTCACAATAATGCACAAAAAAGAGACACATCACAAATGACCCGTTTTGTATTGAACAAGCGCCTCATATTCCAGATGTTACAAATTTTAGGTTACATCAGCATCAGCGTATGGGACCAAAAGCGACACAGAAAACCGACCGAGTGATTGATTTCGCAGTTTGAGACGCGATCTTATCTACACACATGCAAATAACAACATTTAATATTGTTTCAAAGAAAAAAATATATTATGAACAACATCAACATGTATTAAAATTTACCTATAGAAGTCAAGAACCGCCAAGTAACTGAAGGAAATGCCAAATTGAACAGCAATCGGCTACACCAACAAGCAAAGAGAGAGAGTACGGAAGTGATACGTTGCAGTAATAATACATTGCATGATGGGATAGTTTGTCAACGTTTTCCGTCTGTATGTTTATGCAGATCTAGAGGGCGGCGTGGGAAGGGGGGGGGGGGGGGTGCATCAAGGAGATTCGATCACTTTATTTGAATATTGGAGGGGGAGGTGCATAGCCATAGGGTAGGACATAGGCCATAGGGTTAGGGTATAGGTAGCAAGAGGAGACGATCCGCCTGCGTTATCTGCACAGTTTATTAAATCACAATCCAAGTTTCACTGGCCCCTATTAGGCTGTTTAAAGATGTGAAGCAGCAGCCACCCCCGAATAGTTTCAACTGTAGAAATAAAATAAAAAAATCATCGGAAGCCGTAGTTTAGCTTCATCCTCAACTAATAAAGCTCAAGATGTTATAAATAGAATGTGAAATAGACTGACATTAAAAAAAAGTATTTAAAAAAAAATTGTAAATTTAATTATGTTATCACACGGGCTAAAAAATATAATCAAGAGCCCTATACAGATAATTTTCGGGGATTAAAAATAGCGAAAAATTGTTAATCAGGGAGTGATTAAATGGCCAGTGGGCTTTGTAAAATTTGTAATTTGTAATGACCTTGCTCTGAGAACCTTTTGGTCAACAAAGCGAAGGAATATAGGTAAATGAGTTTTAAAAAAAGAACTGGAACTGCATGCAGGCACGTACCCACAGGGGGGGGGGGGCAAAAAAATGTCCAGGATCGGTTGAACTTTTTAAACCCTTTTTTCAGTTACCTCGATCGATTACATATATTATATGTGCCCCCCCCCCCCCCCCCCAAGCATCAAACTCTGACTACGTGCCTGACTACATGTACAATAAAACAGAGTAAGGAGCATTATCAAATCCTCCCTATGTATAACTGCAAGCCTTATCGAATAAAGATTCCTTTGAAAAGTTGGTTACTAACACGGAAATAAGAGGGCATTATGTCTATTCCCAAACATCCACCTGATCAATCCACTCCCTCGCACTCTATAGCCCATCCTTATCTCTGCATGGAATATTTTAATCATAAATAGGAGCTGGCCGGGAAAGGGAACATTTCTTCTGTTCTTCACAATGTTTAGATCTCTTATACCTTTTTAAAGTTTCCTATTGTATGTCAACAAATTAATAATATAGGCCTAGCCTACTCTATGTCAAATGCACGTTGTAAAAATGAATACAATTAACTTTCCCCGAGACAGAGATGAAGGAGAGACTCGAAGAGAGAGAGAGAGAGAGAGAGAGAGAGAGAGAGAGAGAGAGAGAGAGAGAGAGAGGGAGAGAGAGAGAGAGAGAGAGAGAGAGAGAGAGAGAGAGAGAGATACAGGTAATAATTTCTATATGTATATTTAAAAAACGTAAAATTGGCTTTACAAACCGACTCGAAGATAATTCTTCTTGAACATTCTTTCTTCTTCTTTTTTGTTATTGTCAAAGGTAATGTGATCAGAAAATGCTGTTTGAAAAAAAAAAAGACGCCATGGCAGCTGGAAAGGAAATTATACATCTACTGCATTTCGCAAGAAAAGATTGATTTGGTAGAATAGGGAAATTTTTGGAGAGGTGAGTTTTACTTATTTTCTCCCGGAAAAATGATGCAAATCCCACTCATTAGCCTCCAATATTCATGATTGATATACTGCATCATTATGTTTGACGAAATGCAATGTCAAAAACACTTTCCAATTATTGTTCCTATACCCAGTTTAACGCGGTACGAAAAATAATTTCCCTTAACAACTTGCCAATCATTTTCATTTCCGTAGGGCTGATCATCCACTGGTAGATTGAAAATTCATTATCTCTAGTCTATTTTGACATTTTTGTCCATCAATATCGCAAACTAGATGAGTAAGATACAATAAGTTTGAAGAACCCCTGCCAAAAAAAATATAATGAAAACTTATAATATATATGAAGAAATACAAAAAAAAACTTTTTCTTACTTCTAAATTTTGTTTGAATGAAACGATCCCCATCATTATATTTGTTAAATAATATTCTCAAAAATCTAGTTCTGTAACTGAATTTCATACTTCGTTTATGTCTGCGACACCTTATGTATACTACAACACTTTAAAAAGTCTTTCCTAATTTATTGGTTAAAGACAACTATCGAATAACTATAAAATCAAATTAGAATGGAAGACAAATATTGAAAAATAAATAGATAAAATGTAATCAAAAGATAAATCACTGATTGAAAAGCAGCATTATAAGATGGATACATATCAAAGGTACAACGATTTCAAATATATAAATTATTACAAGTCGAAAATCCGTTTACGAAAATGTATAGTAAGTTTGCCCTTTCTGCCTCTTGATTCCTTGTAAGACAAAGTTTATGTAAGCTAGCTTTAAAGCAACAGAGATGTATACTGTGTACAAATGGCTTAAAAACAGAAAAATCGACTTGAGATAATTTTTTGAACATTCTTCTTCTTTTTTGTATTGGTCAAAGAAACAAAAGCGTTGTTAAGTCTAAACTCCGTTTTCCAGGGCTTCCTTTCTTTTGTAAAAATGAAACAGAAAATTGAATATAAAATAGCAGAGAAGAAAGGTAAACTGAGCTCCCACTTTAGGAAACGGTCACTTTATTTCTTGTAGAATTTTGGTCCCCTGTTATTTAATAATAATTGTTTTACTTCCTTATTGTCAATTATGTTATTATATTGTTAATATTATACTGTATTTAAGTGGAGCCTCTCCTTGACGAGTCCAGTCTCGGTTTTCTTACATGATATACAACCTTGAAGCATGTCAGGGTGAGCTTTTCATATGTACAAATGTAACTGACTATAGAATGAGGCATTTGTATTGTGCTGTTTTGTGTTGTATTGTCCTGTGTTGTACCGTGTTCTGTACACATACATTTACTTTATTAATATGTTATTACTGTATGCGATGTCGTTGAGTTTTATTTTCAATTTTAAAAAATACACACACACAAAAAAGTCTAAACTCCGTTTACGAAACTGTTCATTAAGTTTGCCGGCCATTCCTTTTTGCCCATATTCATGTACATTTAGCAGTAAAGCCTTGCAAATTCGAGGATTTACTCTGAAATTTACAAATATAGATATAGGTCTAGATCTAGACTAGTATTTCAATATAAGAAACAAGTAGGTCACAAATTTATTATCTTGATAGCCAAATATTTTATCGAAGGTAGGGGATTAATGGTTTCATTACTTTTGTGGTTGATAACACTGATTCCAAATTGGTGTTATATACTGTCAAATATTGCTGTTTAGTGTTGCCGTTTGTTGTACTAAGAAGGGGGCGTGGCATTTGTTCAGGACTTGCAAAAGTCAGGTGACTGCTCTTGTACCGAAGCCGTGACGCGTATACAATTGAAGTCACACTTCCCTGTGTACTGTTGCAACAGAGCTTGCAACAATCAACACATTGCACCTGTAACCGTTCGTCTTGCAAGTAACTACATCATCATGATCATGTGAATGTAAAATCGAAGCTCTACCCGGATTCTCTTGGCACGTGATATCGTCATTGACGTCATCAGCACAGCAAAACTTTTGACCAAATACTTTTGGCCAAGTTCGGCCTATATATCCGGCTCACACGTGTCTGTACTACCCACTCGTATTTCCTGCAAGTTGAGAAGTATAGTTTTTCAACTTTGTTGACAATGCCGAACAGCTGCGCTGCCTAACCCATGCCAGAGCTCGTCGGTTCCAGAGTCGGTCTTTATGCATCTTATTGTTATACAGCAAGCTGCGGGAAAATTAAAAATCAATTAAGTACAATCTTCCTACTTCATTGTGTCGTGTCGTGATTATACCTGACTGCTACATCCAGGACTGAATAGTATATAGAACTTGTGTAAACTTTTAGAAGTTCAGGATGCCAAACGAAACACAGCCAATCCTGCAAGGGTAGGTATTCAGGGATGTTCTCATGCAGGAGGGGATGGAGAGGGTTAAGACTAAGAGTCGCTAAGAAATATTGATCACAGTTTCAAAGAACAATTCTTTGACAGAGAGGTTAAATATATTTGTTGTGAATTGATAATGCGTTGGTCCTTGGATTGCTTACCAGTATGAGCATAGTTATATAATATTGGATGGCTTTGAGTGAGATACATTGCTCGAGCTATGGCAATATTGAACGATCGAGTCGGAGACGAATCCAATATTGTCATAGCGAGAGCAATATTTTCTTGTATCACAAGAAAACAAAGCCATATGATATTATTATTATCTATATCAGGCTGCCTAGTGAAATGACAAAACAAATTCTTGTGTGTGATTTATAGTCAAAGTTCACGGATGACTGAGAAATACGAAAACAATATTGCATGGTCAGTCATCCGGGTACTGCGCTAAAGATGTTGAATACACAGATTTATTGTACCACTTGGGACTCGGGAGCCTTATATAGATAATAATTAAAAATAACTAGTTATTAGTTGTGATATAATGTTAATATTATTGTTAATTGTGAATTATCATTTGTAAATCTGGGTGAAATTATGTCAGGTGTTTTTATTTTCTCTTTAATCAATGTACTGTACTTTCCATGTAGTAATAGCCTTTAAACAAGGCCACATGCCTGATAGACGCCGAGCGACTAAAAAGAGACTAATCGCGAAAACCTGAATGATCGCCAGCGCGAATTGTCCAGACCTGTGGCCTTTATCAATCTGGTTTGGATTTCTTATGTTAACCCTTGTTTCCGACTGGAACTCGCTTCAGAAAACGTAGTGTCCAATCAGCGAACGTATCCTAGCACGACGTCAGCATATAGTATCCATCACACACACACACACAGTAAACTCTACGTAGTGCGAACATGGACCTACATGCCTACTATACGTACGTGCTAAGACCACTGACCACTGACCTCTACATGGAACGAATCACGAACGAAGCCAACTAGGAGATCGCCGTTCTGATTGGTCAATGAATCCAAAGTAGGCGTATTGGCCTACATTCTATGAATAATTCATGCGGAGTAGTGAAACCCACTTTCCAAAAGGCCTCATGACATTCGTCATTCGGTCGCGCGTTCACTCCGGGTATCTAGACTCATCTCAGCCGCTTAGCCAGAGTCAACGAGGCCTTGTCAAAAGGCTAATGTAGTAATTGCTTGCATACATACAGTATAATACAGGAATTTGGAGATGTATTAACTCAGACTAAATCTACAGTCCAATGGTATTGTGATACCACCGTAATGACTATCTGGTGATAGCTGTGGAATGCATAGCTTGCATAGCTTGCATATTTTGAGTACATGTAGTGATGTATACATGTACATGTATGTACATCTACATACTTAAGAATATACATGTATTGTATGATCAACTCATGTCATCATTGTGTATAGATTAAGCTTAGTTCAAAAATCCTTTTCCACTCATAAAACAAAAGAAACTTTTGCTACAATTTGTTTTTATTTTTACTCCATCAAAATTTATTTCAGCATAATGCATACAAATGACAAATACAAAAGAATATATAACCTATTTACATTTTAAACATTCAATTTGATAAGTACACTAAATTTCCTTAATTCATTATTTTGATAAAGAAAGTGGGAGGCAGGCCGGATTAAAGAGTCAAAGAGAGCAACAAAGAGAACATGCACAGTTTAGAAGCAGGCTTACTGGAAAGCGTAAAATCTTACAGCCTTTTGCACTCCTACAGTCTTTTGTACTCCTACAGTCAACATAGGCTATATATCACATGGGTGGAATAAGGATGAGTCAATTGAAAGTTTGGCAATGCTTAAAGAATAGATTACCCCTATTCACATTCCTGTTGTCTACTAAAAAGATACTATAAGTCTAAACGCACACAGATAGGCTGTTTGCCTATTTAGTGAATCCTTCTCACTGTATCCAGTCTATACCTAACTCACTAGTGCACTCTTCACCACTTTTTATTCTAAAATGTTAGAAATTTGATACTATTTTAAATATACTGGTATATATTCGTTCTGCAAAACAACGGTTCAAGGTTTCAATCAAGGTCACTGGTCAATGCTGCTATATTATCATCTCTTTTTCATTCATGAAATTTATTAGGGTAAATTAATGTATCGAGTGTATAAAGTAGGCTTTTCCTGTTAATTCTCTGTGGGTTTTTGTAGTAACGGTTATTCTTGACATCGTGGAGATGCTTGTCAAATGTTTGTACATGTAGTAGCCAGTGGCGTACGCAGGATTTTTTCAAGGGGGGGGTTTTAAAATCGGGTCCAAAATTAGCAACGACTCAGGGAAATTTGAAAATCGCGCCGGCCAAAAAGTCGCTTAGTGGGGGGGGGGGGGGGGGGGGGGGGGGTAAGCGGATACTTGTTTTTTTTTGGGGGGGGGGGGTTCCAAAAAAATCGCAACGACTCAACCGACCGCTGAATAAGCGGGGGGGTAAGAGGACACTTTTTTTTTTTGGTCTCGAAATTTGAAAATTTGACATTTTACTCCGTTGGGGGGGGGGGGGGGTAAGGTCATCTTTCTTAGGTCAGCCATGGGGGTAAATTTTTTTTTTTTTTTTTTTAATAATTAAAACAAAAAACAAAAAATAAAAATCCAAAGGGGGGGGGGGGGGTTTTAGGGATTTTTTAGGGGGGTTTACACACATAAAAATACCAAAGGGGGGAGTTTAACCCCCCAAACACCCCCCCTGCGTACGCGCCTGGTAGTAGCTAGTAACAAAGAATATATACCGTATGCAAAACAGCTACATGTATGCAGCAGGAAAAAAATAAGTTGGATTTAAAATATTTATTAAAAAAAACCCTCTATTGATTGAACTCAGACATGTTATGGGTTGATACTTGATAGTAGAGCAGAGGTTTGCCACCAGGGGGTCCCTTTGGTGAAGCATTAATACTGTTAATTATCTAAAAGTCCCACAACTAGGCCTTATTATTACAGGGGGGGGGGTGTTTCATAAAGCGTTTGTAAAGTTACGCATGACTTTACCAATGACTTAAATATGAAAAGCCAAATAGGATGCTCATTCTTTATTAACTGCATCAACTAAAGTTGAACTCTGCAGATGTAGATTAACATTAACAAACATTCGTAATGCAAAGTATATTTTTTTGCTATAATTTAATTGAGGTTATTGGAAATATAGTCACACTTTGTTAACATCAGGAAAAACTTTGGGCATCCTATCTGGCACTTCATATACAAGTCGTTCGTAAAGTCATGCGTAACTTTACGAAAAGCTTTGTGAATCAACCCCCAGGTCCTCTAAATATTAAAACCATGTGCCTGTGGTTGCTTTATTATCAGCCATCCTGATAGATTACCTGTCAGAACTAAGAGTAATTTCAATCATTAAAAGTATGTAAAATGTTTGTTCAAGTGTACAAACACTGAACGTAGCTTTGACAATTTACCTCAAGTTATGAAGCAGACTAGAGGAAAATAAATATAACTTGTTATATTTTGGAAGGCAGCCAATACACATACATGTACATGCATTCAGGCGCAGATCCAGGGGGGGGGGGTAGATGGGCAGGCTCCCCCCATGACCATAAAACAGGTTTTTAAAAAGGTGGTAATGTTACTTTTATCTTTTTTAAACAAAAAATGAAAATGGGCTCCCCTCCTCCTGGCCAAAAAATAAAGTAAAAAATGTTTAATTTTTTTTGCTAAAAAAAATAGTGCTCTCCCCTACACTGAACGAAATATCAGTCGACGCGATTTTCACATTTCAGATTTTCACATTTACTTTTACTTGATCTCAGAACACATGGTCCTTAACTCCTTATATCAGACATCAGCACAAGCTCCAACATAATTATATTCAGATCATAGACCTATTTATGAGAGAAGAAGGCTATTTTAAATGAAGTCTTTATAATAAGTGGGGATGTCACAACAAATTTGCAGATACTTTCTTTCCCTATAAATTCCCTAAAAATCTCTCTATCTCTCCCTCCTCTCTCTCTCTCTCTCTCTCTCTTTCTCTCTCTCTCTCTCTCTCTCTATCTCTCTTGATCCCTCCCCTCCCTCCCTCCCATCTAGTGCAAGGGATTAAATTCCAAATTTGCTGACTAAAAATTGAAAGTTTTGAATGAAGGGGTGCAACACTCCGCCCCCCCCCCCCACACACATATCCATACATACACCCCTCATATGTGACACGCCCTGTCAAGCTGTGCATTAATGTTTAATAGAGCCTGTGCTTGCAGACTAATATTCACCATGACAGTGGTCTAATTTTCATTTTGGCATCAGATATCAGCACCCTTGGTCCCTCCCATCTCCCTGCATGGTCTTGGCAAATCCACACACATACCGGTACACTCTTACACACACACACTATACCAACACATGCTATACCAACACATGATATTTGCTCTACCAGGAAGGTAAGGGGAGACAAGCATTTCATTTTGGGTGAAGTTGAAGGACAGTGGAATTTATTTTGTTGAGGTATGTAAGTGTAATATAACACATGTATTTCTGAAGTACACTATATATGACAGCATAATTACGTATAGCCTAGGGATACCCATGTACCAGCTACAACATATTTTGCTTGCATTAGGAGAGATACATACTTGGAAGCTCTCTCATCAACAGAATACAGCATTTAATTGGTTAGTGATGTATATTGAGGCATATGGATGGATAATATAATCATCAGTGTTGCATGCATCATTGCTTTTGGGTATACGTGCTTGTGTGCATACGTGCTTGTGGGTATACGTGATTGGCGTAGGTTAAAGTTATTATGTCGTATGCTGCATGATGTTAATGTGAATTTGGTTGAAATATGGTGCATATATGATGAAGATGGTTCTCGATTATAGAAAGTCTGGATAAAGTAATTGGTTGTATTCTTGCTTGTAGCCCACATATGTTGTAAATAGTCATGTTCAGAGAAGATTTTTATCTCTCAAACCATGAACATGCATATATGCTCAGACAAATGGACTTGAAGTGGTAGAGTGCATGCTAGCTGCCCCACCTGTGTAGGATATAGAGCATTTCATCACTACATTTACTCCATACTGGAAAAAATCTGTCCCCCTATTTGAAGATTTTCTGTTTCGAGAGTGAGCTGAGCTATATACATTTTGGTACCAACCTGAGCAGCTAATCTGCCTTTATAGTCAGAGCCAATCTAATTGAGGTCTGGTATGTGCATTTTATGTCAAGAGAATGTGGCTACAATTCATTCTGGATTGTTTACCCTGCAGTAGATTGATTGTTTGAATCAGTGAAATATTAAACAACCTCACAAAAACCTGCTGGCAATTATCGGCAATAAAGCACATATTGACCTTTGTTAAGCACATGTGTGTCAGGCTACATGTTCCTTGATTTCCTTATCTTTCTAAGCTCATTACTCGGCCCCTGTACATTTGCTACCTCAATCATTTGGCACATATATGTGATTTATTTGTAATCTTGAACTTTCAGTGTAAGTTTTTTTTGGAGTCTGTGAGAATTTATGTTCTATCATTACCAGAACTCAAGCTTAGCTTTATAACTGCATAATATATTTAAAAAATTTCTGATAATTATGTTGATATTGCAGAGGAAACAACACGATGTATACCCAGGGCCAACCGCAGGGATATCCTCCCCAGCAGCAAGGGGGTTACCCCCCTCAGCAACCTGGCTACCCCCCTCCTCAACAAGGTTACCCTCCCCCTCAGCCACAACAGCCTGGATACCCCCAGCCCCAGCAGCCAGGTTACCCTCCTCCACAACAGGGTGCCGGTGGTGGTTACCCCCCTCCGCAACAGGGTGCTGGTGGTTACCCTGCACCTCCTCAGGTATATCGATCTCTTGTTTTGTTTTGTTTATTCTTTTTACATTACCGGTATGTGATTTGAAAGAAATACATCAATTTCAGTTTGTACTGACTCTCTTATCTATTGCTTCATGTGTTCAATTGACACTGCATGTAGAACAGATTCCTGTTTTCCACAAAAAAGCTGCCAACTCACTTCCTTCCAGAGTTTTGATTTACTTCCTTTTGAATTATGAAATACAACGAGGAAGCCTTTTAATTAGCATGTGAGTGTGTTTCTCCATAAAACTGTTCTCCTCAATCTGTACAGGAACGTATAGGGCTGATTCTGATATTGTTCCATTATTGCTACAGTTCTCTTCTAAAAAGTCATACATCTTCAAAGTCAAAATACATTATGAACAGTGACCTTTTTATGTCTTTTTTGTGTGTGTGTCTTTGAAATACCTTAATTGTTTGTTATGCAGAATATAATTCTGGTATATTATCTTCCATATTTTTTTTTTCTTTTTTCACTTGGAATTCATTGTAGATTGTAAATTGTTAATAATTAGAGTTGTTGATTCACAAACAGTAGATATATGTGTATGGATTACTAATGTACACGTTTCCTTCTATTATATCGTCCTTGTTTTCACGAAGTGACGGTAGTGAGGAAAATCGTAACGCAAAGTGAATGCAATTTTTTTTCACTACCGTCACTTCGTGAAAACAGCGACGATATGTCATCCATTATTGGAAGGATGCACCTTCAATAATGACACCAAAGCTAGCACTTTCCGATCCAGTTTCAATCAAAGCACCAATGATCCAAAACATACGTGCAATCATATTTCTGCAACTCTTTTCTTCTCTTCTTCCTTCCTTTCTTTCTTTCTTTCTTTCTTTCTTTCTTTCTTTCTTTGCTTTCTTTCTTCCTATCTTTTATTCTTTCCTTCTTTCTTCCCTTCCTTCTTCCTTTTTTTTTCTTCCTTCCTTTTTTTTCTTCCTTCCTTTCTTTCTTACTTTCTTTCTTTCTTTCCTTCTTTCTTTCCTTCTTTCTTTCCTTCTTTCTTTCCTCCTTTTATTTTCTTTCTTTTTTTCTTTCTTTTTTTCTTTCATTCTTTCTTTCTTTCTTTCTTTTTTTTTTTTTCTTTCTTCCTTTCTTCCTCTCTTCCTTTTTTTTTTTTTTTTTTTTCTTCCTTTTTTCTTCTTCTTTTTTTTACTTCATTTTGCTTAAAGTGTAATCTGAGAGAACGTCCAAGATCATGTTGAATGAAAATCATAGGCCTGTACCTGATAGTCTTATTTGTGCCATGAAACCACGAGCAAATACTTCTATTTAGATGGCACATGTTCTTCAGATATCTCTTTAGACCATGAGAACTGTACATATTATCATATCGCACAATCTGATTTTACTGCTTTTGAAGGAGATTGTTGACCTGTTTGCTCTGCGGAAGGACAAAGGTCACATATAATAACTTCCTGGAGCACTTTTATAGTCTTCCTCATACATTTATTTCCAGAGTTGTACTTGTAGATAACAGTGTATCACATGCCTTCTCACTCAAGGAGAAGCTCTGAATAATGAAAGAAAACTTTGGAATCCTATTATCGGCTTGCTGTTATCTTTTAATAGTGGTGGGGTAAGATAATGTAATGTCAGAACAATGAATATATCCAACAAGTTAAAATTTTATTTGTTTGGAGATGGAACTTTGATCTCATGAAGTAATTTCTATTTTTAGATGAAGACTTTGAAAAGTTGTCTTTGTCAAGTTTGCATATTGAACTTCCACTTTAAAAGAAAGAGAGACAAGAAAGGAGAAATGCATTCATGACGTTAAACGTTCAAAGTTCGCAAATTGATGATAAAGAATTAAGACCTAGGATGTGTAGAACCTGTTTAGTGGATATTGACATAGCCTATCACTGTGTGTGAGTTGAGCTTGTGACTGTAATGGTAAACATGGATAAGCTGACAAGTATATTTGGTGATATCGAGATAGTATAGCTAGTATATTATATATTTCAAATCAAAACCATGTTCTCGTTTGCTATCAAACTTTAGAATTGGAATTTGATCACTTATCTATGAGGGGTCGTGGGGATCAAGCAATATTCCCTATTCATATTAATTTCCCATTTGAATTGTATCCAAAAGAATTTGTCCAATACCAAGAATCTGTGGGTGGTATTCTCTTGAAAGCGGACTAACTTTAGTCCACGGTTTAATCCACTGACTGAGTATGGAATGCCAAGTGTCCATAGGAATATATTTTTTAATAAGTTGATATGTCCCTAAATGACCATAATAACATAATTATATCATAGTTATATTGTTGTTTATAATATCAATTATGTTATTACATTTTATTTTAATTTAATGACAGATTAAATTGTTCAAAACATATTCATAGGAACACTGGGCATTGCATAGTTAGTCGGTGGATTAAACCATGGACTATAGTTAGAATACCAACCATTATCTTTAATCTAAGGTTTCAGTTTGGCCTATTCCAATACAGGTGTAATTTTAATTAAAAATCCAACCAAATATTTTATTCATTCATTAACTTATAGGTACAGTGTTATTTTCATCCTCAATAGAGTGGTGAAGTGTGACGTCATCAAAAATCTATTTTTCTTATTCCGAAAGAACATCAAAAATAATGTCCAAATGTCGAAAACCAATTGAATATGTTAAGTATTGGCTGAGATATGACCATCTGAATATGTCCTATAGGAACTCAGTGTTATCTTCAAGTTTCAAGTTTTATTTATCTTTCTTTCATAACACATTTCACAAAAATGACATGAATATAACAAGTTTACAGAATATGGCGTTACAATAGAAAGATGAGGTGACCTTGGTTGAAAGCAAGGCTTGTTGATTTAAGGTCCCTCATATGCTCTGGCTCCTAACCATTAGGAGCCAGAGCATATAACCTTGAGTTCCTATGGGGAGTATATTTACTCAGATGGTCATATCTCAGCCAATACTTAACATATTCAATTGGTTTTTGACATTTGGACCATATTTTTGATGTTCTTTCGGAAAATGAAGAAAAAAATTGAGAAATTCTAAAAATATACTTATGACGTCACAGCTTCGGTACTCTATATATTATTCCAGTAAAGAACATACCGGTATTGAAGGAAGAGAAAGACCAAGGAGAACAATTTTGCTATCTGATTTTTCATATTTCTAGCTGCACATACATGTAGGCTAAACCTTAAGTTTTTATTTCATCTTCAGTACCAGCAATAGTGTGGGGAAAAATGTATAATTTGTTTAAATTGGAATATGCTAAGAAATTGAAATATTGATAGTCATTTGCTTTTAACATCAGTAGATCAATATCATATTTTCTTAATTAATAATGATAATAATTATGTTATTGAATATTTTTATCTCACACATATATCCACCACGCAATGTGGTCAAGGTGCTTCAATATTACCCTGGCTTTACCAGGCTAACAATTTTAGTGCTCACAGCATCAACCAAAATCTTCCCTGCCATTTAAACACGTGGGTGAAGAATGGCAAATGTAGATTAATATCTTGCCAAAGGGGTTGCAAAAAGACTTAAATCACAAATCATGTGATTCATAGTTCGAAGGCATATCTACTAGACATTGCCACCTCTTAATGTATTCATCTATTCATCTATTTTTATATCTTTGCTTTTTATTGCCCATTGAGGAGCTAAGGAGACTCTTGAACCCTCCTTCAATGTTGACAATGTATTAGATGATAATGATATGGTAACCCATAAATAATCAGTCTCTCTGTCTCTCTGTCTCTCTGTCTCTCTCTCTCTGTCTCTCTCTCTCTCTCTATCTCTCTGTGTCTGCATGTTTGTCTCTCTCTCTCTGTCTATCTCTCTCTCTCTCTCTCTCTGTATATATCTGTCTGTCTGTCTCTCTCTGTCTGTATGTCTGTATCTCTGTATGTCTGTATGTCTGTCTCTCTCTGTCTGTCTGTCTGTCTGTCTCTCTCTCTCTCTCTCTCTCTCTATATATATATATATATATATCTCGCTGTCTGTTTGTATAACTGTCTCTCTATGTGTCTGTATGTCTGTCTGTCTGTCTCTCTCTCTCTCTCTCTCTTTCTCTCTGTCTCTCTCTCTCTGTCTCTCTATATCTCTCTCTCTGTTTCTCTGTTTGTCTCTCTCTCTCTTTCTCTCTGTCTCTCTCTGTCTGTCTCTGTCTGTCTGTCTGTCTGTCTCTCTCTCTCTCTCTCTCTGTGTCTCTTCTCATCTCTCAGGGATCTTACCAAGGTGCACCTGGTGGACCTCAAGGGACAGACGAACCCTCCTACAAGGGAGACATACCAGATGATGATGTCGAGGTCAACCCTGACAATGCTGTAAGATATAAATTATAGGCCTACAACTAAATCTAAATGCTTTCAAAACTAGATGGATAATCAAAACTCAAGTGGAAACTAAAGTATATTCAAGGATTCAGAAAGATGCATGTTTCTAGAATAACCTGGGTTAGCATATATTTTTTAGATGTCTGTTTTGTGAAATTTTTTAAAGGGGCAACCAGAACTTAGTGAGGGGTGCATATATGTTCTTGTTTTTTTCCCTCACACTTTGCCAAACATTTGGTTTTGATAAATGGGAAACACTGGTTGGTCGGCCCATCTGTCTGCCGCTAGAGTAGTAGCATTCTCTATAAACTTAAATTAAAATGATAGGTCTTGGGAATACTGTCTTCCTATTAGTTTATTCCAACATATATTCTATTTTTCTTCATGAGCATATATCTGTATCATTTTTAAATGTTTTGTTTTGTTTTAGTCTTGTTATAATTAAATCCCATTTCTTACCTCTCCCCAGGCCGGTGCAGCACCAATTGCCTCGGCCCCTCCCTTGGAGAAAATGGATCAGGTAGCAGGTTACAACCAGATGGATGCGCCTCTACCCCCTCCCCCACCCCCTTCTTATGATGAGGCTACCCAGCCAACTGAACGTGCTGGCATTGAACAGTAAGTATCAACGTGAGATTTAGTCTTTGTACCAGTTTTGAAGATGGTTTCTATTTGCTATCCCATAAAATGAAGCAGATTTGTTATTGAATTTATTTTGTACATACATACTTGTGTTTTTGTCACTAACAATGGAATGTGTTTATGGATTTGAATGTCATAAAATGCTACCCAAAAGCATAAATTAGCAGTGTGGTATGTAGATAAATACTGAAATAAATTAATAAACAATTTTATGAATTGAATTATGAGACATGACAAACAATTTTAAAATCGATAATTCTTCCATCTTTTATATATGCCTAAGATGGTTGCAATCAGGACTATATGTTTAGGTAGGATAGCGGAAACATTTTCTACCATTGATGTTATCCTTGTCTGCCCCTTTCATGGAACATCTGAAACTCTACTTGAATTTATATATGTGGGACTAGGAAAACAATTATGTATAAAATCGTAGTATCAGTATACGTTGGAATTGTATTTTAGATGGAAATTCGCAAAGTCAATGAATAAAATCGAGGTTCAGTATGTTTGCATTCCCCCAAGAATAAATATTCAGGATTTGAAAAATGAGACGACAACTGCAACTTGGTAAAATCATTTCAATGTCACTCATGCCTTGTTCACCCATGGTATGGTATTGTGCCTACAATTTATTGATTTAAACATCTTTATTCAGGATAAACATGATATGCAAAGCTTTTTTTCATCATGGTCCTGATACATGCTACATGTAAATGAACAGCAACGGTTTGTACAACGAAGGCCCCTGTTCGTACCAACTTTTCCATCACTATAAGATATAAAAATGTGGAAAGCAATGTGTTTCTGTCATTATTTGCTGTAGCAGATTTTTGTCTTTGGTGATATGTGAACAAGGCCTAATTAAATTGATATATTATTATCTTTCAGAACACCTACATTAACCGATGAAGAAGCAAGAGAAGCCCTTCTCTCGTATGTGGCAGAGAACTGTTGCTATGGCAAGAAAGCTGCCAAAAACCTTCATGTGAATGACCTCAGACACACTGCTGCATTCCATGTAAGTTGCATCAAAATTATTTCTTTGTAGAAGCAACATTTGGCTTGTAATATGAATGATTTGGTTCATTAAGTTATTGAATAATGGAAATCTATACAATAAATGAGACTCTTTGAAAAGAGTCATTTATTTAGTATTGATATAAATCCTCTATTATTATGAGAACTAATGACAAAAAAGATTTACCAACTTTCAAGGTTTGGTTTCATAGTTCATATGCTTTTTAAGCCATGAAGATAGCTCTATCTTACTTTCACTTTATTGACATCTTGTTTCACCATGGTGATAAAAGAATTTTTATTTTAAGATTAAATAGTTTTTATAGTACAAAAGAAATGGGATCAGTGTTCAGGTTTGAGGCAGTCATTTTTTTCTTTCATTTTATTATTAAACCATTCTATAATGTAATGCAAGCTGATAGTCATACAGATAATTTTTTAATGACATTATGGATGATAGTTTGAATATTACAAGGTTTTTAATACATCATTCTATTTTTATTGAAACTGGTTTACATTATTCATGCAATTGCAATGCATAAAAAAACCCTCAAGGATATATTTGGAAAAGATACAGGTAATCATTTTGATCGATAATTATTATGTCATTCCCAATAATTTGGAGTAGGTTTATACTAGACCTGTCGCGGTCTAAATTTTTGAAAATATCAGTTGATCTTTTGAGAGCTATTTTGGCTTTGACAATTCATTGATTGATTATTTTAAAACCATTGATGATTTTTTTTTTCTTTAATCACTTTTAGTACACCCTGGAGACTTTTACAGAGAAGAGAACAACTAAATGGGTGAATGAGCCATTCTCAGGTGAGAAGTCATTTCATCTCATTATTTCTGCTTCAATAGGTGTGCTTAATAATCCACCCAAGACTTGTAATTCATGTCAGTAACCCCTCGTAAGACGAATAATGCTGAATTTGATAAAGATGATGATGATGAGGATGATTGTCTCCTTGTCGTTAACTTTAAAGGCATCGTTTATCAGTGTCTGTGATATGGTGTAATATTGAAGCCCTAACAAAATTGCACTTCAAAATGATCATGAAGTGCCTCAAAAAAGGAAAATCTTTGGGTGACAGGCTTTACCATACTCATTTTCCCAATAGACTGTAGTGATATAAAAAAGAAAAATGAAATTTTGATTTCCAATCATAAATATCTTGATAATTAGACAGGCGATCAGCTTGTTAAAGTCATGGGATTCCTGACTGACCTAATTGTCATTGCAGCATGAGCTAAATCCAGGACTTTGTTTCAGAATCTGAGGCAATGTTACTGAGTCACTTGAAGGTTTGTTTTACAATATTGTTACAGTGTCAGTATGCATGTTACAAGGAGAACAGTTATGATAAATGCCCACAGTAGTGATTTTATAAAACATTAAGAGGTCATTGTTTGTCTTGATGTAACCCCTAGGTCAGCCTGTCGATGGCCCTCAGAACGGACCTGCCCCTCTCCCATGGAGCATTGCTGTTAACATCCCCGCCATGTTTACAAACAGCATCGCTAAGGTTGAAGTTCCACATACTGCATCAGTAAAGGTATTTAAGCGAGACTGCACTACTTATAGCTACTTGCGCCCTCTATATAGCAAACAATGCTGAATCGGTGCCTGTACGTCCCCTACATGATCCCCTTTTTCTTATGTTATTTGAGAGCTGATTTGATTGATGAGATAACCACCTGTCAGTGACCTTGCAGGGAGGTCTAATCCCCCTGGCCGAACTAGTGCAGACAGGCTTTAAAACAAAATCACTGATTTCTCACAGATTATGGTTTATAACTACTGATTAATACTTTTCAATCATTGGGTTGATTGCATATATTTTATGATGTGGGAGTCTTTCATGTTGGCATAAACCTCCTGATTTGAACTCCCAATTGCTCCAAATCTTTGATCATGGTGATCTTCATACAAAAAGGATTAATTTTCTAACGAATGAAGACCTAGCGAAGTTGTCTATGGTCTACTTTTACATATCACCCTTTACGGTTGGTGATTATTAGCTGTGACGGCTGGCAATGCAGATAACCTTTTGCTGAGACTAGCTCATTTTGTGAATGAAATTTTAACGTTGTGGAGTTTATTTGGTGAATTTTATCTATCATTTTGCCAAATTTGAATATTAAGAGTAACATAACTCTTTAAAATATTGTTATAATCAATTTTAGTACACCGTTGAAGTCATGGACATGCATCCACATATTTCTCAATTCTTGTTTTTGCGTTTATTTGTAATTAGTCAGTTTCTATGTTTAACTCTCCTGACCTTTGACCTTTACCCTTTAGCCATGCCACGACTGTCATTCCATGGGATTCCGCAGATGTCATACCTGCTTGGGACGTGGAAGGGTGAGTTCAACCCAGCAATCAATCAAAGCATTTATGAAAGCAATAAAGGGTTGGAAAACTTTGACACTTATTGGAATTCAGAGTCAGTGTTAAATGTTCTTATGCTAGCTAGACTGCCAGTGATAATGCAGGAATAATCGGTCACTTCAATTTACTACATAACAAATTGATATGTCATGTCAATGTCTGCGTGCACCATTTTCAACACGGACATCTTCTCATTTACTATATACCTCAAGATGAATAAATAAGATCTGGCTAACATTCTGTTTTGAAAAAGATTTTTTTTTAAAATATGAAATACTACGACACTATGATACTACTACCCATCCTCTCTAACCGGCGCTATAGTTCTCCTTTGAACTATAAGCTCAAGGAAGATTACCAACAATCCTTTTCAGGACCACACACACATTTAAGAAAGAAAGATTACCGAAAGTCCTTTTCAGGACTCCCCAATCCTCCCCCCTCTCTCTCACATTGTGCAACCGTAAGCCTACTGTATAATTATCTACATCACCATGCAAGCCGATACTTATAAGCAGCATCTATGATACAGTGTTCTTTTAATCAACAAATGTCTTATGTTTCTTGCAGACCCGATGTCATCATTGCCATGGCCACGGCCGTCGTCATGTCAACCATTATGATCACCATGAGAAGAGACATATCTCACGCTGGGAATCATGTACCTTCTGTCATGGGAGGGGTAGACAGAGGTTGGTATCAAGTTAGTTGATCCTTGAGGAGGGATTAAAGCCCCACTGCACTACTTATAGCTACTAGCGCCCTCTATATAGCAAACATGCCTAATTGGTGACCATTGGTTCCCCATGATCCCCTTTTTTGTATGTTAATTGAGAGCTTATTTGATGAGATAACCACCTGTCAGTGACCTTGCAAGGAGGTCTAATCCCCCCTGGCCAAACTAGTGCAGACAGGCTTTAAGAATATGTGTTGGAATATCAGTCCAAATTGGGATGGGAATAATGATTGCATGGGTGGGTATGATTGTTTTTGGATTGTTTTTTTTTTATACTTCTCTAGATATGATGATATCTATGATTGTAGTGTTATTGGGACAATTATAAAATTCAACATTATTTTTCCTGAGATCCAGCTGAAAGACTGGTTTTATGTTGGTGGAAATAGATACTTACAACCTTTTGCATCAAGACCCTGAACTTTATTTCAATGAATGATGAAAGTGAACATGCTCTGCATTTCTTTGTCTTCCACTAGTTATCTTCAAAGGCCTATGAAGATTATTGTTTTTCTCACTTATACTTGTTATTTGATTTTACTTTATGAAAGTTAATATGTATCACTTAAAGCTAAAGACCAGTTATGGTCATGCGATTGCATTGTGAAAGAAACGTTGTGAAATCGATCAGAAAAGGTTGATCATCTAGCATAGATGTACTGCAAGGTTATGGAATCATCAAAATGATAAGAAATTTGGCCAAGTCTTCATAAAGTTAAAAGCACTGTACACAGAAAGATGTATATGGGACTACACACACGTGCGCGACACGTGCATTTCATATCTCTCAACAGGCAAGAGATACCCTAATTTACCAAATATATCAATTAGTAGGCGGTTTCCTGTCAAAATTTTTATCATCATGTAATATTCAAAACATATTCTTTCACATGATTGGTAATAAGAGCTTCCATTTCACTTTTTGAAATTTGGGCGTTTCCAATACCAGTCTTTACCTTTAAAGATAAAGACCAGTTATGGTCATGCGATTGCCTTGTGAAATAAATGTTGTGGAATCTAGCATATACGTATTGGTGTGTACTGCAAGGTTCTGGAATCATCAAAATGATAAGAAAGTTGGCCCAGTCTTGGTAAAGTTACAAGCACTGTACACAGAAAGATGTATATGGGACTATGCGACACGTGGACTGAACCAAACTACTTTCTTACCGTACAGGTGTTTTACATGCCATGGTCATGGACAGATCACATGTTGTACCTGTAAGGGACGTGGAAGCCTCAAATTTTTTATCCAACTCACTGTTAATTGGTAAGTTTGTACTATTTTTAATTGCTCTGTAGGAGTAAGGATAGTAATTTTCTGTTTATTATCGTAGAATGGTACCAATATATAGGTATTTTTAGGAGAAAGACATGGACATACGTTAATCTTGAAGCTTAGTTGGTCAACAATATAAACCCTAACATTTCTGACCACTAAAGTCAAGTCAAACTTGGATTAGTTTAGGTGATGGGCCATGGATTTCTCTCTTTTCATGTTGAGAGGTCCAAAGTGGAGTGTGAATCCCATATTATGACAAGTCATTAGCGAATTATACTTGGCTCTTTAAATTTTAAAAATAATTTACAAATGTTCTCTGGGGCCTTCCAAAGCAAATTTATGCTAAAACAATGTTTTTTGGGGTAACCAGAGATAGAATTGCTATCCTAGCTTTTCTCCAGAATCACTAATTACCTCACACCATTCAAAAGATAAATATTTAAAAAATACATATACAGTGTGAATCACAATGCATTGAGAAGAATACATAGTGAAAGGAACATACAGTCAAACCTGTCTATAGCGACCACCCAAGGGAAACACAAAAAGTGGCCTTTGTACACAGGTTCCTTTAGTACATGATTCAATGAGAAACCATTTTCAAGGGAAACAACAAATGTGGCCTTTGTAGACAGGTGGTCGCTAAAGCAGGTTTGACTATCTGTACACTGCCTAATCAAATTTTGTAAACACTATGAGTGCCTATTATGTACAAGTTTAACTGTTAAAAAAACCCACCTATTATAATGTATTTCCTTTTTTCATAGGATAAACCATATGAATGACAACATTGTGGAACGTACTGCCCTACCTGATGAGCTCATTCGTAACGTAACAGGTCAAGTGGCATTCAAAGAGGAAAATGCAAGGGTAAGAAACAACTTTGGGACAAAAATCTGATTTTCATACAATAATCCTTTTGTATTACTTGTTGCTTCCGCAATGTGATACTCATGGTGTCATTAATTTGTTAGCATGTGTCTTTAATCATTCTTGTTGGTGTCATTATTCATTGGAATTATTCTAATAACTAAATTAATGTAAGGCCTAAACAAAAAATTGTATTGCCCTTCAGGTGCCAAAACATGGGTCGGTCGGTCAGAAATCTTCTTCTTTTTTCCCCCTTTTTTGTTGGGCTGATATTTCTCAGTTTTTAATGCTTTATTACATTCGTTTTCTAAAAAATGGTAACAAAAAAAATAATTAAAAAGCGACCGTCGATTTAAAGTTTTTTGGGTCTGTCGCAAAGGACAATACAATATTTTTTAAAGGCCTAATTATGCTACCTTGAATCATTGTCTATTCAGATAGGTGAATTTGGAAATGATGATTAAGTAAAAAATGATAATCAGGAATTGCAGCTGTACTTTCAGAACTACTCGCACAACATCCTGAAAAGGAGAAGATTCCTTTGTATTTTTACCCTTAACTTTACCTTAAGTATAGAGTAAGTTCAAAAATTTGCTCAACTTTCCTATGAATTTTATCATTTATGGTAAAAATCTATTTTGGGTGCTTTGGTATTTTGATAACTCTGAATTTAAAGATGAAAAGAGCTACCATTATCGATGAATTCAATCTCATATATGCAATGTTTTTGTCCAGATTTGGCCTATCAATCACTTCCCAGACCAGGCCATCAACCAAGCCTCTAGGGAGCTTGTCCAGCAACATTCTGGTGCCTTCCAACAAGAACGCATCCTGCAACAGGTAAAGATGAACACTGATTGGTTGGTCAATCAGGAGTTTAAGGATGTTTTTTTAATTTTAGTACATGTTATATTCATATTTGTCTTAATTGTGTTCGGAACCACCATTTCATTCACAGCTGCGACGTGAAAACAAATGTTACTACACATGTACTATTTCTTGTGCACGTGTACACAAAGGGACTTTTGTATGAGAAAAGGGATATGAGGCTGAGCGAATGAAATTGTAGATGCATAAACAGCTGGAGTGAACGGCCAATCTGGCAGCAGACTGATGTACACATGTCATTAATATTGAATTTGTTCACGTGATCCAGATTGGGCGAGAGCGCTCGATTTAGCAGAGAAATTAGATCACGTGAAGGGGGGGGGGGGGGGAGAGAGAGAGAGAGGGTGAGGGAGGGTGAGAGAGAGAGAGAGTGTGTGTGTGTGCATAATTAGAACATGACCCTGTACACGTATATCCGACTATGTCCGGGCGTGTACACGACTACCAAAATACACGCTTCTGCACTTTCTTAATTTCATTATACATTTACTTGATCAATTTCTTTTCTTATATTGATTAGAAGCAAGAAATCTGATGTAGGAATATCTTATAAACTTGATTCAAGGAAATGCAGTATTGTAATCTTCCCCTAATCTTACTTTCACAGCGCCACCAGGTTCGCATCATTCCTGTTGCTGAGTCCTTGTGCCGCTGGAAGGAGAAGAACTTTTCTTTCTTCGTCTATGGCTTCGAACGTAAAGTCCACGCCCCAGACTACCCCCAGCAGTGCTGTTGCGGCTGTACCATTTTGTAAAAGGGGTATCCTTCTACACATCAGAGATAACTACGCATTAAATTGCCAAACTAGATGTTTTAAATGTCCCATTTGCAGGATAAAAAATATAAAAGGTTAAATTCCAACGGCATTTGAAAGACAGTACTAATTTAGAACTTTCCTCAAAACGAAAGGGCTTGAAAATGGCTTTTAGTGGGAAAATAACAACCATTACTTGTCAATGATTGACAATGATTTGTGAATAACCATTTGCTTGAAAGCTTGAACGTTTTTGCAGTATTCTCATGTTGTTGCAAGTAGAGGAATATAAAATTGGTTAATAACAAAAATCATGTAACACATTAAAGATAGCAATGTATGGGCTCTTTCTGTAGATGCATACATATATTGCTGTTATACATTGTTATTCTTGCTTGAGGTTTATCCACCATACAATGAGTACTTTAAATCACTCAATATAGTTTATATCCATCATTGATTGATTTTCAGCCTACTTAATGTAAATACTAGTATTTTGTTGAACAAAGATGGCAGTCGCAGCTACTTCATTATATACATATTTCTATGATTTAAATTCTCCATAGAGATTGTAGGCCTACATTTATTGATATACATGTTAAGCATCATTCAGTGACAGTGAAATAATGTCATTAAAAAATGTGTTTTTCTTCATTTGTGAAATTTTGCAAACCATTTAATTCGTGATGAAGATACATTTCAAAAGAATTGATTGTTCTACTTACAAAAATACTTAATTAAACAACTCTATTTACAGACATGACATTCATGTAATGGTCAATTGTGTTCCACATAGACAGGATTTAAGAGTCGAGCTCAAATTTTTCAAACATGGAAAAGAATGATTTTATTGATCTATAAATATAAGATAATGTTTTAATCATATTTGTTCAACCAATATACAGCTAGATATAAAAATGTATATTATCTTTCTTATACAAAGTATATGTAGATGAATTTATATTTAGCAGTGAATATCATTGACTTTGGTCAACTTTGTTCATATTCTACCATTAATTTTGTTAGATACTGATACCAATCATTTTGTATCATACAACTAGTCTGTGTTTGTTTTGATCAAATCATCATGATGTAAATATTTTTTTATCGTTGAATATTGTTATTTTAACTCTGGAAGGAGTAAGAATGATAATAATGAAATATGGACAAGAATATGAGGCATGTTCTCGTCCTGTGTTTAAGGTTTTTACAAAGACTATTGAAACCCCCATAGCCAGTGGCTTTGCTATTATCTTTATGGCATAGGCCTATATCAAGCATCTTTTCATTTTATTAAATTGATCTTTTTGTCATATTATCACTATAATATGTTTTGCTTGTAGACTTTGAGCTATATACTAATCTTGTACAAGCTATCAACTTTTACAAGGCATATCGTCGCTGTTTTCACGAAGTGACGGTAGTGAACAAAAATTGCATTCACTTTGCGTGACGATTTTCCTCTCTACCGTCACTTCGTGAAAACAAGGACTATATATTACCATTGTGATTATTACTCTTTATAACTTCATTTTCAAATGTTAAGGCTTGGTTCAGCAGGCTATGCCTCAATTTGATATCAATATCATGTATTTCTGTATTGTACTCATTGTTATTTGCTGTGAGAAATGAGATAGTATTGTGTCTTATTCCTTTCATTTGCAGATGGAAGATGTGTCAAACTTCTTTCAATTTAAATTTATGCCTTACATTTTCAATCAGTACTAGATGAAATAGATTGTTTTCTATTAGTAGTGATACTTCAAATTTTTAATTATTACTGGATCATACCCAATTAGTTTAGCGAGATTTGTGTCCAATTATACATTGTATGTGTTGCTTGTGTATCAAATTGGAAGAAGAATGTTTAAACATGGATCTTTTTATTAATTTTTCTTGTAAATATTTGTACCATGCCGTCCTTTTAATATCGGTACATTTCATTGTGACACTTTTTGTTACTTTGAAAATTTAGTGACATCAATTCTTTCAGAATAAGAAATACTGGTATTGGAGAAATGGACTAATTTTTCAGTATTTTGTTAAAAGGAAAAGTGTGAAGACTACAAGTCAGATTTGAGGAAAGCAACCAACTCTACTTTGGGGAGAAAACTTTTTAATTATTGTATGCAAATCATTGATTTAGACATATTTTGGCAACAAGTTATTTGTAGTACTACTATAAGTCATAGTTCTAATTCAGGAGCTGTTTTTACTGCTTTCAACTATTTTCTCTAGAACGTTTTTGTAACATTTGCTTTAAAACATTTTAAACCATGAACCAAAGACTGAGGATGGAAATTATATCAATAATTCCAAAATGTATTTACCATGTTTATAACCTGTGTTTTATTAGTCTTTTAACCTTGCCTTCTCAATTACGAGCCATGATCAAGTGCTAGTTATATAATGCTGCTAATTTCCAGTTGTCATATTTTCAGTATTTTCTTTCTGCTTTTATGGCATAGATTGATTGAATAAAATGTTGATCATATTGTACATCAATACCATTATGTATGATTTTGATTCTTTTAGATGTCATTCTCTGAGTCATTAAGTGTGTTTCAAGCCCCTACTCTCTAGCTCTGTGCCCCCTCCCCCCTCTCTCTCTCTCTCTTTCTCTCCCTCTCTCTCCCTCTCTCTTTCTCTCCCTCTCTCTCTCTCTCTCTCTCTCTCTCTCACTCTCTCACTCCCCCTCTCTCTCTCTCTCTCTCTCTCTCTCTCACTCTCTCACTCTCCCCTCTCTCTCTCTCTCTCTCTCTCTCTCTCTCTCTCAGGTTTAACATGTGTATCACTCTTCATTTTAGGTATTGGGTTCGGAAACATGAATCTGCAGGACAATTTCATTTGTGTGATTTCTTGAAAATGTAGGAATATAAGAAGAACAAAATTCTTGATGGTTAAATAAGAGATATCTAGAGTTTTTTCCCCTCCTTTTTACCTGACTTCTAAAAATACACGTGTATGCTTGTGAACAAGGAACCAGGGGACTGACTGTTTTAAGTCCTCTCTGAGGGACTTGGTATTGAGGATGAAGGACTTGCCAAAGGGCCGTAGCACATATCAACTCGGTTTTATACCCGGAACCCCCCCCCCCCCCCCCACCCCGGCTACAAGATCACTGCTCTACCACTGGACCATCACTGGCAACATGGATGGAATAAAAATGTCAATTATAAAATATTTGCAGTGCTTCACATTATATTTAGCAGACCTCAAAACCCGCATCTTTAATTACAAGCAATTGTGTAGTCCATATCTATATGTTGCCTGTACAGACCACCTGACTCGAATATTGAGTACTTTAATAACATGCTAGATGCATTTGAAAAAGCAACTGATGAACCATCTGATCTACTGATATTAGGGGACTTGAATATTGATTATAAAATGGACGAATCACTCCATGAAAACCAAATTAATCTCATAGAAAATCTTTTCCTGTTAACACAAATGATAAATAAACCAACAAGGGTAACTACTTCATCGTCAACTTGTATAGACCATTTGTTAAGTTCAATTCCCCAGAAGCACATTATATGTGATGTTGCACAAATTTCCATGAGTGACCATTATATGATTTATACTTGTATTAACACTATCCTGGAAAGGAAGCAACATAAAACTCGTCGTTTTCGTGATTATAAATCATTTGATGAAAATCGATTTATTGCTTCTATAAAATCAGCTGAAATATTTCAATTAACTAACGATGTTCCAATCGAAGTAACATGGAATACTTGGAAAGAAACATTTTTGAAAATAAGTAACGAACATGCACCTATCAAGACAACTAGGGTAAAAGACAGATTTTGTCCTTGGATGACTCCCGAAATTGTAAAACTTATGTACACCAGAGATTTTCTTAAAAGAAAGTCCGTGTCTTCTCCTGAACAAGAAATTCGAAATGATTTTGATAAAAAGTATAAAAAACTAAAAAACCATATTATCTGTATCATACGAAAACAAAAACAGGAATATTTTCGGGATGTACATAATAAACACAAGAATAATTCGAAGAAATTATGGACAGAATTGAATAAGATTTCTGGAGTGACAAAGTCTAAGGACCAGAGCTGTAATATTGAATGTAATGAAATGAACGATTTTTTTATTAATACAGGTAACAATATCTCTAGATCATTTGTTAAAGAAAAACCGAAATGGAATCATCCACATTGTATTTATGAATTTTATTTTCAACCAATTGTTAGTTCCAAGATACTAAAACATTTAACTAACTTAGCTTCAAATAGCAATTTAGATGTCTTAGACTTTGACACTAAATTACTCAAATTAGCTGCACCATATATTGCTCAATCCCTATGTGCCATCTTTAATGCAAGTCAGGATACGGGAATAGTACCTGATGATTGGAAGATTGCACGTACCACACCGATTTTCAAAGGAAAAGGCTCAAAAAATGAAAAAACAAATTATCGACCAATTTCGGTTGCTAGTCATATTCCCAAAATTATAGAAAAGGAAGTACAATTACAGTTACTTTCCTACCTTCAAAAACATGATATGATTAATGTCGATCAATACGCCTTTCTTCCAAACCATTCAACTGTAACATGCTTACATCGTGTCATAGATGACTTCTACGAAGCCTTAAATACGAAAGAAATGGTCGGTGCATGCTTTCTAGACATCTCTAAATGTTTTGATTGTGTTGATCACGAGCTTCTCCTATTCAAACTTGAAAAATATGGAATAAATGAAAACAGGCTCATATGGTTCAAAAACTACTTAAGTAATAGGAAGCAAGTGGTATACTCCAAAGGAAAATTATCTGATACAAGAGAGCTTTCTATCGGAGTACCACAGGGCAGTGTCCTGGCCCCCATTTTGTTTCTTATATTCATAAATGATATTTCTGAATGTATAACTGAAGGCGTCTGCAACATATTTGCAGATGATGTTGTAGTCACTGTTGCAGATAGTAAGGTAGATGATGTTACAAAGAAATTACAAAAAGATATTAATGCTCTTAATAATTGGTATAAACAAAATCGATTACGCATTAACACAGGTAAAACCAAAACAATGTTAATAAAATTAAGATCCTCTGAAGTATTAAATATATACATAAAAGATGAACTGATCGAACAGGTAAAATCTATTAGATATTTAGGTATAGTGATTGATGAAAATTTGAAGTGGAATGTATACTTAAGAGACTTATGTAAATCTATTGCCTATAAAATCTATTCTCTAGGAAAGCTGAGTAAATTCGTAATCCCAGAACTATTGAACACCCTTTATAAGTGTGTAATCCAACCCTGTATAGACTATGCAATATCTGTATGGGGGAATTGCCCAGCCAGCTACAAGCTGCCCCTTCAGAGATTACAGAAAAGAGCTGCTAGATATGTAACTGGTATCTTTGACTATGAACTTGCAAGCGGCAACACATTGATAAAAAAACTGTCCTGGCAAACTATTGATCAGCGCCGTGATTATTTTCTGGCTATGCTTATGTTTAAATGTATAAGGGGCATTGCTCCACCTCGTTTATCAAATGAAATAGAAATGTATTTCGACCGCCATGGCCTAAACACAAGAAATGCAAACTCCCTTAATGTAGTATTGCCAAAACCCAACGTAACCTTATTCAAACAATCTTTTAAGTATGCTGGAGCGGTTAATTGGAATAAGCTTCCCAATGATATCCAAAATGCCAATTCAGTAGAGAGTTTTAAATATCAATATAAAAAATATTCCTTTAATGGATAAAATTTGTTCACTGCCGTTTCTCCTCACTACTACAACATTATATGCAACAACCTGTAATGATTGCTAACCCAATTACCTAGAAATTTCAAATACCTACATTACGTCCTAAATTTGATATTCATTTTTTTTTATAATTATGCAATATAAACCATATTTACAACTCATTGGGCTTAATCTCGACATAAAATATTTATTAACTTCATTGTTGTATATAATTCTAATGTAAAATGTCATAATCTAAATGTCATATTGCATTATTTTATATTTTGTCTCCTCTTTTCGTTTTCCCTAAGCCTATTTTTTCCCATTTGTGTTGTTTTCGTTTTTTTACCATTTGTATAAAACTGCTATTGTTTGTAACTACTCTTAATGTCAGTCTGTATCTGTATTTTCCATCCTTATGCAGGACCATTATGTAAAACAGCCTGCGAGCTGATTAATGTTATCCTGTTAAAAGATGTTTTAATAAATAAATAAAAAATAAATAAATAAATAAATAAATACTTGAAACATTATAAATGGTGCCATACAAGTGCTGTGGATCATCATCATCATCATGAGCTATAATTTGTCATTCAAAAATATTAGTACTGGTAGTAAATATTCAGTTTGGGTCATTCTACATTCAAAGAAAACTACGTACCGGGTATATTTAAAATATTTATTTTTAAAGCTTTTTTAAAGCTAATTTTACATTAATTGACTATGTAATTCATGTATACACTGTATAAACATTACATACAATATACTACGCAATAACTAAACTAAACCTTTGAGAACTTAAGAGTTGCCTGTTATATTTGTTCTTTTTTTTTTTAATTGAAATTGAAATTGAAGTTGAATTGAATTGAAAATTGTATCGGTTTGCGACTTTAAAATATTGTAACAGAAAAGAACAATGGCAATGAGTGTTGAAGATATTCCTATAATGTTTTAAACAAAAGATGGCGCTCGACCACATTTGACAAGTTGCCCCTAGACGTAATATGCAAACACTCGCTCTTCTGCGGACTTATTCGACCATGCGAAGGGATTCATCATAATGATCAAAGAAATGATAGAGTGCTTAATTACCGCTTGATGGTTGATGATCCGAGCTGGTCGATATGTTGGCTATTTCTACATGAATAGGCATGTAGGCCAATGTCAAGCAAGTTCCCTGTGCAAAGTTCTTGACAACTAAGTCATAAAAGCGAAAAAAAACTATTACAAACAAAAAGAAAACAAACGCGGTACACTAAACTATACAACATATCATAGAAAAACAATAATACAACATTCGTGATACAGTTAATGCTGTATCCTGTTATTATTCACTATAGGCATACTGTGTAGGCCTATTGATAAAAATATACTTAAAAAAAAAAATCTGTATATTTATATATAACGACAAAGTCTTAATGATGACTTTAATTTCACTTTTAACTAACACCTATTGATTTAGCTCATAAAAAGAGTGCATGTAAAAGATAATGAGCAAATTTTGATTATCAATAAAATGAATCAGAAAATGGTATCACTCACGTCCGCTGTCCCTTTCAATGATTTCTCACTAATTGTTGAATGTGTAAAGAATAGAACAAGCGAATCCAAACTTGTGTAATTTCATCCTTTTTCCATTAAACCGCAAAAATACAAATTCGCGAAAAAACGCATTAGCAAACTTAAAGTTATCAAAGATTGTAAATCATGGATTACATAACGGGACATTAAAACATGCACAAATTAGCGCAGGAAGGAAGGGGAACTTGATTCAAACAAGGATTAAGAGTCGAGAACGGTCCAACGATCATCGTCTTCTTTCTCTATATTTGATGAAACGTCAAACCCCCCTCCCCTCCCTGCACCCAACCCCCCCCCCCCACCATAGGGAGCGCGCTACGCGCGCTCTGTAAGTGATTCGCATGCTTCGCGTGCTCACTATGATACCGCCCCCCCCCCCCTAAAATGAAATCCTGGCTATATACGCGCTTGCGGAGTCCTGAATTTGAAAAATTGTTTGATGCACTATTCCCAACAATGATACAATTATCCCCATATAAAGTTTGTGATAAATGTGAAACTGGTGCTTGCATGGCCTCCAAAATTCCCCGCAGTGGAAGCGCGGCTCGGAGCATGGAACTTCAATTAAAGCGTAACTTACTCTTTAGAACTCACGAATGCGTTTGAACAAGAGTTTCGACTCCTTTCTTTCACCTCCCTGATTAGACGCTGCAGCCGGACATCCCCGTTCAAACGAAACTTGAGTACCCCCGGGCGTTTCCATGCTTTTTAAACACAATGCACTTCGCCACTATAGCAGACGACGTGCGTGCCGATATCACATAGAGCTCAGCCACACTTTGACTCTCTGAGCTGCGATTGCCGGGTCACGTTGCATAATTATGCGTAAGTCAAACATTTTTGTATATTTTACACTTTAAAAGTATTTTGACGCATGCAGAAGTATTTTGATAATTATACTCATGACAATTAGATAAGACTTGTTTTGTGCTAGCTGGTGCACAAGTTTTTTAAAATGATTTCCATCCGATCAGATCGTACCAACTACCATCTCATACTCTCATACCATGGAGATCTTCTTATATCTCCATGCTCATACATAGTCAGACTCACTTTATAGTCATTGATTTTGTTTACGTATGTATCCAAACATCCAGTCCCAAATTATGTGAAAGTGTTGGCCGTTGCTTGTACTTTTGTCATTAACTAACTAATTCTACATTTGTTATAAATATTTTGTTGATGACCGTTTTGTTGTTTCATATGCGATGTTGTTCAAATCATTGCTTTGAAAATTTGATGCTAATTCTTTTTAACCATGTTGAACCATATGAGATATGAAGCGAACAAAACCCATACAGATCGAAAGAAAGGGGGGGGGGCGGAAGATAAATTCTGAAGAAATCAATAGGACTGCACGGTACTCTGCTATACGCTACGCGGCAGCTAGGACACCTGAAAAAGATAAATTCTGATGAAATCAAGGTAGGTGCTCTGCTGCGCGCTATGCAGATCACCTAATTACAAATGTTAAACGACTGGTTCAGATGTAACTAGACAGAAATAACTAACCGTCTGGTATGGGTCGTTCTGTAATAAAACTCATATTTGTCAACATTCCCCATACACAGACAGTAACCCATTTGACTCACACAATGGGGGGGGGGGGGGGTGGATTAAGCCGATTTTGTACCACTTTTGCTACAAAAAGTTTCTGCCCCAATTTTCTTTATTTAGATCTAATTTCCTGATTTACAAATCAGATGAAAAAAAAATGTGTATTTTTCTCCCATGTACAGTTATCAAAGTTTGTATTATCTATTTCCGATTAAGAAATTTACAAACTTATACCTTATACAAGTAATCCAATTTTATCTCAGAACCATTGAAACGGTTTGTTCACATGCATTCGAACTGGTAATCTAAGGTTGCGTTTATCTAGCAAATTTTTGGCTAGAATCAGGTTTCTCAAACGTCTTTCAGGCAAATTTAGAAGTTGATAAACGCAAAGCCTTTTTCAAACGTCTTTAGATATGGGCATATCTAAAGACGCAAAAAGGTGCGTTTTGAATGTGACATACAGCCAGAATCACGTTTCTGAAAGATCGATAAACGCAAAGCTGTTTTGAACCTCACATACAAATAGGTGTTGTGTACAAGCATGTGTGTGAAGATGACCTCCGAGAAACTGTCTGCTTCCCGGGTCAAAACAGCTGGGCAGACACAAGGCCTTTATTTTGAATCGTGAAGGGACGATAAATGCGACATCCTGCAAATCACGATCGTATAGTGGGGTTCGTTAGTGCATGGGGTTTGATAGTGGGGTACGATATGTACATATCTAGTGGCAAGCCTTGATAAACGGGCCCTATGACATGACCCGGCCAATATATTTCCGGGTCAATTTACCAAAACATAGCAAATGGCAAATTAGAGCACTCGTTGACTATTGGGTTTATGAATACCGGTATTCATATATTACTGGGTCAATTAGCAGGGCTGACTCGTACGTAGCTAATTGACGTTTGAAAAGAAAAAATTAATATTCATTAACGCAAACCAAGATGGCTGACAACAAATCATGTTGACCACAAGACTTTCTCGGATTAATCATTAATTTAGGATCTAATGAGCTAGCTATCATAAGTCAAAGTAGATATTTCTGTGTTATTTTTTAATTTTTAATTAGATTCCGTGTAATATTGCAGCCAAAGTAAAGTGGATATATGAAGACGTAAAGAGTATGTAGAGGCGGTCAGAGGAGCCAGATGTAATCTCAGTGGAACAACCGTTGATATCAGAGACTGAAGCTTTCGGTCTAGATGTAACAATCTATTATTGAATTATAAGAAAACAAAGTATGTATTATTCCATTCTAAAAGGAAAAACAATTCCATCAAACACTGACCCGATAAGAAGTGAAAAATACTGATATTGAGAGATAGAACTAAGTATTTAATTTTCTAAGGCATTCTCATAAGTGGATCACTTGACTGGAAGTATCACCTTGCTAATATATCTTCTAAGTTTTCAAGAAGTATAGGTTTTTTTATCCAAATTCATATATTTTATACCCACCAATCTATATTGATAAACCATATATTTCAAAGACATGCAAATACGACTAATTAAATAATAGTGACTTTCGTATAGTCCCAGTCTACCACTATTTGTTAAATTAAAAAGTCTCCCAGTGTTTGAACTTGTAAACTTAATACAGTTTTCATGTTTAAGTATCACAAAGGGGTTCACTAATACTGTTTTCACACTGGCAATATTTTGCTTAACCCCGTATTATAGGTGGGGTTAAGGGGGGAGGGTCTTAGCCCCTTCTATAGTACAGGGTTAAGCCTATTCCACTTTCTGTTCAGACTGGCTTTTACCAAAGTGGGCTAAAGTTGGCTAACCCCACCTATAGTACGGGATTAACTAACCCTGCAAAATAGTAGGGCTATAACTCCGCAATTGTGGTGTGAACTCCTGCTAACCCCGCAATTGCGGTGCCAAGCAAATGAATGAGAACAGAAACGAAAAATAGTCCGGTATTACGCAATGGAGTGTTCGCAGCTGGCCAGATGCGAACATATTGCTCCGTTTAGTCTCATTTCACAACGCCCCCTATCGTCAGAGCATGGTCAGAGTCAGCAGCCTAACATGTTAGGGCATGGTGGCTCAATGGTTAGAGCGTCCGCCTCATGAACGGGAGGTCGTGGGTTCGATCCCCGGCCGAGTCATACCAAAGACTTATAACAATGGGACCTTCTGCCTTCTAGCTAGGCGCTCAGCATATTAGATTGGAGAAGGGTAATAGTAACATGTTATGTTATGCAGGGCCCGCTGGGAGAGCAGTTTCACAACTGAAGTGGCTACCCTGGGTAAATAAAACATTATTATTATTATTATTATTTTATGGACGTTTTTTAAAAAAATCGTTAAAAATTCATTTTTTATTTAAACAAAAAGCACATCCACCCCGACATACGTTATCACTAGCTCTTTCATTGGAGCCCTCATGTCTCATTGACTTTTGAAAGTTCACCCACCGTAATTTTTCAAAATAGGTTGCAAGCTCGTCATTGCCTATAATACACATGTGAAACAAGTCTAACTTTGAACTCAGTTTGCCAAGCGATTTGAAGATTATAGGTCGAGCACACGAAACATAAAAAGCATGAATTATCATAGATCACTTCTGCCCATTTCATTATGTCCATTTCATCCAGCCCCCCACCGTAATTTTTCAATTTAGTAAAAGCAAACATTTAGCCGAGGTAAGCAAAAACATGAATATTCATGACACACCATGGACTATTCGGTTATTAACAGAGGGGTGCAATCGGTCATCACGTCAAACTCCCCTAATTGCCACCAAGTATTTCATATAATTATATAGTTTGGTATGTTTCTTTTACTCACTCATGAATTATTAAATATCAATGATGGTTTAAAGAAATGTAAAAGAAATTTTAGTTGATATTTATTAACAAAGTAATTTATATTTAGCAGAGCAATCTCACATACAAAATTACTATCAAGTGTCGTCTGCTACGCCGATTGTCGCCTGCTTCGTTAAAGGCACATATTTATCGTTTGGACTGTAAGGTATACCAGGGAGATTTGTATTGTCCTGCAGTACAACGTATAGCAGGAAAATGTTGTATATGCGGATCCTTTTAATGATTACGTAATGGAAGTGGCGAGGCGGTATGGTTTGAATAACTTTGGCAGGTGAAAGTTATTGTATTGAGAAGGAAAGGAATGTTCAGAAAGGCATAGAGGGAAGTGGGCGTGGTAGCCATTTTAGCTTTGCACCTACATCAGTACGAGAATACACCCGACGGCGTGGTGGCCTGCACTTATAGCGCGCGAACACATCACACCCAATGGCATATACACCGGGTACCCTGCAACACAGTGGAACATTCTAAGAAATTAAAAAATTATCTACAAAATGGACCTCTTGAATCATCTGAGAAGTAACTTACCCTATTCTGATGACTTCAATGAATGTCAAGATAACAATGGCTGCTTTTCCATCCAAAATAAAACTAGTTTGCGATTAGAAGTAGTCAATTTCTCGATAATTTCACAAAATATATTTGCCACCGCATTCAATATGACGTCATTGACAGCTGATTGGCTGGTTTGGTAGTGACGTTGAACGAGCTATGTTTGTGCTGCAGTGATCGAGCGAGCGAAAATGAGACAATCGGAGCAATATGGTATGTCCAATCATAACATTCACGATATCTGAGGTTAATGAGTTGCAGTGAGAACAGCGTGAATTTTCTTATTCCGGAATAGGCACTAGTACGGGACTAAAAACAGCGTGTGTGAAAAGCCCAAAAAATAGTCCGGGGTTAAGGATAGTACAGGGCTAAGCAAAGTACGGGGTTAAGCAAAACCAGTGTGAAAAGAGTACTAGTATTTTTTGATAATATGTTTAGAACTATAATTCTTCATTCCATACGTATCACACTCGTACACGGGATAATGTTTGTGTTCCCATTACCCGTTCGCAGAGACGCCAAGTTCAAAGATCAGCAATGCGTGACATTTTCATGATTTGGCGCGCAAGCGCGCATGAGAGGGTATAACACATGTATAAGGTATAGCGTTTTTTCAAAATCTAGTGCGCGTCGAGCGTAAGAGCATTTTCAGACCCTCGAAATGCGTGATGTCACGCCTAATGCGTGATACTTGGTAGCTCTGCGTTTGACTATAAGAACCCATTCTATCCATTTTACAGGAGTACATGAATGGAATTCAATTTGTAATAACCTTAAATCCAGCTCCACACCCTGTCCCCCCACTCCGGGGTCGGAGGGACTGCATTCGTTTCCCAAACTCTCTTGTAAAGGAGTACTTTATACGCGACAAAGTCT